CTAGGGCCCCCGCCTTGCCAGAGTGCTTATCCTTCTGTGGCCTTATCTTGAAGGAGCAAGGATGCTTCGAATGCGCGTTCACCGCGCGGATCATCTTTCCGTCGATCCTGAAGTTCGTCTGTCCTTTCCACAGCAGTTCTGCTGCGTCGTTCAATTGGAGTGTTGCCACGACTGGGATTTCATCCACTGTCGGAATCAAATCTTTCTTGATCGGGGCTCTCCACGAGATGCATTTCTTGCCCTGCTCCTCGTGCACCAAGAGTCCTTGATCCTTCAACTTCTCACACAGTACCTCAACTTGTTTTATGTACTGGGTAGGAACTCCGAGGATAGCCATGGTAATCAGTTTACCACTCTCGGGGGACGCTCCTGAAGCATCGATGCAGGCACTCTTGTCTAGTACCTCCTGTTTGTCTGCGTTCCATGCAGAGACATACCACGACTGTCCTTCTTCCCCCCATTCTTTGATGGCATCCTCCTGGCTCCTGACTTCAGCATGTTTGCAGGTCTGTCGAATGGCTTCGGCTAAGGCGTTCATCGAGACTTCCTTGGACTGCAAGGCTCTGCCTGTCCTGCTCTGAGGGTACTGCCTGACGAAGTGTTCCAATCTTCGGATCAGCTCTCCTAGCGAAGGTGCTGAAGGCGTCGTGTCCTTGTTTAGGAACTGGGAAACTCGGACACGAGCAATCTGTTTCCTTTCCTCTTTGGATAGATACCACATGATCAAACAACCGTTTCTGCACAGAAAAATATCCTGTTCAGCACCCTAGCTCGCAGGGATCCCCTCAAACTGCAGGGGAGGAGAGCATGTCTGTTACTCCAGCGGCCTCCTGTTACTCCAGCGGCCTCCTAAACTCCAGCGGTCTCCTAAACCCTAAACCCTAAACCCTAAACCTAAACCCTAAACCCTAAACCCTAAACCCTAAACCCTAAACCCTAAACCCTAAACCCTAAACCCTAAACCCTAAACCCTAAACCCTAAACCCTAAACCCTAAACCCTAAACCCTAGTAGTAGTAGTTGAGTTTATTAGAATGCTAGGTAGGTTGCATGGCTTGTTTTCACCTTGCTCTATTCTAGTCTAACAGGGATCTCGTGACCTGGCAGTTCGGCCCGACTTGGCTGGCCCCTATGGCAGCCGTGCTTCTGCTCTGCTCCCTCCTCTGATATACTTCAGTGGTCTTCCCAAACCTCAGCCAGTGGCGTTTTCTCCGCCGGCCTTTGGCATGGGACGTCCGTGCTTTACTTGTGTTGCTTTCTCGGCTCCGACACACCTTTGCGGTCTCGGCCGGCCTTCGGCCAGTGAGTGGCTGATGGATGAGGTGGCAAGTGGGTTGTGGATGGGTCCCTGGGACTCACGTCCCTTAACCCGGGCCTCGGTCCGGACCGGGCCCGAGAGCCCGGCCGGCCTTCGCCCGGCCTCCTCCCCCCCCGCCCCCCCCTCCCCCCTCCCCCACCGGCTTACCTGCCCTTACCTTCGTTGCTTGCCCCATGTCCACCTCATTTATTTCTTCCTCCTTCCCCCCTTGGGGCCCACAGCTCCGCTCCGCCTCTTGTCCACCTCTAAGACTTGACTCGAGCCTCAAGCGCGCGAGAGGCCTGCGCCAGCCTCCTCCTCCACGCCCTCGCCCTCCTCAGCCTCCGCAGCTCAACCCATGGTGCTCAGCAAATTTACTGATCGCAAGAAACAAGAGGCTTACAGATCGACTCTCGATGTCATCGCTCTCAGCCTCCTGCTCGAGCGCATCAGTCGCTGCTGCCCTTGGAGAGAAGGCGCTGCCCCTCCTCGCTGCCTTGTTCCCTTGCACCCGTGTCCAGCGCTGCTCGCCGAGGTATGCTCTGAGCTTTTCTTTCAACATGTTTCGCTTCGATCCCAACGTCGGCGTGGCTGCCCAAGCTCCGAGCGTCATGAACTCCACGTTGCCCGGCGAGCAGAAGGTGTCATGCAGCTTGCCAACACTCTTGTCTAGCTCCAGCGAGATCGGCTTGCCAGCTAGCAGCTCCTCCTCTGATGTCTCCAAGAGCATCGTCGAGAGGTCGAGCAAGACCTGTTGATCGACTGGCCCTGACGGCGACGCTGCTTCCATGGTGATCCTGTCGATGTCGCTGAGCTCCAGCCATCCAGCGCCTTGCTGCTGCCCTTGGGGCTCTTGGGCTTGCTCCTCGCTCTCTTCTTCCTCCTGAGAGCTGACAGTGGGTTTGAACCCCACCGCCTCCAGCTTGACTTCCAGGATCCCTTCCAAGTAGAAGGGGATGTCTTCCATCAAGCGTCGAGCCTCTGCCTTGGTCGCCAGGGAGAGAGCTATCAGGCTCCCATCCCAGCTGAGCGTGTCACGATCCTCCTCGACCTCGACGCTGACAAGCTTGAGGTTCATTCTTCTTGCTAATTCCAACATGGCTCGCTTGACTCTCGTGATCGATGTGTTACCTCCTCCGCACAGCGCTTCCATCTCCTTCCTCGAGAAGCGGCCTGTGCTCATGCTTGACCTCGACTTGATCTGTACTCTAAAGCTGCTGCGCCCCGCATGATCTCTCTCGCGAAGTGCCCTCCTTTGCTTGGCAATCTTTCCCCTCGGCACGAAGGTGTCGGCTGTGAGCTCGACTGCAAACGTCTCTCTGAGCTTGACGTCGTCGCTGATGAGAGTGAGATGCACCCCCTCCATCGCCTCGCTCTCTCTGAACGAGGCCAAGGTCTGCTCGCAGCTTGCCGTCGAAGGCGAGCTGAGCACCCACTCTAGCTCTCTCTGCTGGAGAGCTCCGGTGCTTGCCCCAACAGCAACATACGTCTTCGGGCTCGGCCCCTTGCGACCTCTCTGCCCAGGACCCTGCACGAGCATGCCCGCAAGTGGTTGTACCTCTGCGGCTGCAAGAGATTGCGAGAGCAGCTGAAATCGATAGATCTGAGCGATCTCAGCCGTCGACATTCCTCCAAGAGCTAAGAGCTGCGATAGCTCGGCAAGGCTCCCTCCCTTGCCCCAAGGTCCTCGCTTGGCTCGAAGCTTGAACGACCGGTCATGTGCAATGCTCACCTCTGTGGCTCGAAAGACTCTCCCTTCGATGGCGTATTCTGTCCTGCCTTCCCATAGCTCCATGGCTGCTTCATTCCGAAGGAAGGAGACGGTGACTGAGATGTCGTCTGCTCGTGCTATCTCAGGTCTGTAAGGTGCTTTCCACATGATGGCCTTGTCGACTCCATCGACTGAGTCTACCATGAGACCTAGCTCCATAAGCTTCGTTTTCAACTTTTCTTCTTGTCGAACATACATCGAGGAAATCCCTAGGAGAGTCATGGAGATGAAGGAGGTCCCCTCGGTGCCTTCGGTGCCGATGTATGTCTCGACATTCTGCTTCTTGGCCTCCTCCATCTGTTGAATAAACCATGCTCTCGACTCTGAGCTCCATTCGCTCAGAGAGTCTTCAAACAGGTCGCGTCTCGCCTGCCGACATGTCGAGCGGATGGCTTCAGCGATAGCGTCGGGAGTGCATCCCCCCTCAGCTCTGCAAGCATGAGCTGTCCGACTATTCGGATAACGCTTGGTGAAGTTCTTCACCCTCTCGACGAGGGGCAGGGTGAGCAGCTGGAAAGGCTGACCTGGTCCTTGTAGTATCCGACGTTGCAGGAGACGCAGGTGTGCGCCCCATCAAAGGCATAGCCTAGACCGCAGGAGCAGGTTGAATAGTCTTTCCGGACGAAGGTCGCGTCACATACACACTCATAGATATCGGAAGCCCCCGTCTGGCTGGTGGAATAGGTGTTGCAGGAGATGCAGGAAGTCATCGCCGTCGTGTTTCCAAACATCCCCAGCGGGCAGTTGACACAGGCATCATTGCTCAGTGTGGGTTTGTAAGTAGATACCGGGCAAGGAGTGAAGACTGAGTCCGTCTGACGGTAGTATCCCGGTATCGCAGTGCAGACAAAGTCAAAGTACGACTGCGAGGACGGGCGCTTCGAATTGGACGGGCATCGTTTCACGCAACTGTCACCCACATCAATAGAGTCAAGCGGACAGCGCTGGCAATAGCACTCCCCGACTGCTCCTGCTGGTGAGTTCGGCTTGGAAGCGGGACATGAAGCACAATAAGCAGGAAGACTGGCCTTGATGATGACAATCCCTGATCCTCCTTTTCCGCTGTCGTACGTTCGGTAATTGATTGCACTCCTTCCTCCTCCTCCTCCTCCAGACCCTGTGTGGTCGACTGCGTTGCCGCCGTAAGCGTTGATATTGTCATGACCTCCGTATCCCCCGATCCCACACGCGGAGAAGCCGTAATTGTACCAACCTGTTTGACCTCCGCCTCCACCCGCAGCAAAAGGCATGCTGACGCCTGTGATGTCGTAGTAGACGCAATTGCCTGGCTGACCCAGGTTGGGGGAGTAGCTACCACCTCCTGCTCCTCCGCCGCCACCACCGACGACGTACACACCGGGTTGATACCCAGGGTTGCCCTGTCCGGCGACGTTGTTCCCGCCTGCCTGTGTGCCTTTACCACCACCGCCTCCTCCAGAGCCTCCTGCTGTTCCGGCAACGTTGAGCCAGCCACCTCTGCCACCTCCAGTTGCCACATAGTTAACGCTCCACCATCGCCGACCGTGACCGTGTAGGTGCCAGCCTGCATCAACACGTTCTTCTGATAGATAACACCTCCTGCGCCTCCACCCCCGATGCCAAAGAGTAGGTTCTCCGCCCAGAGATATGCGTTGTAACAAGCGGTGTAGTCCCATGATATGTCGCAGCACTGTGCCGAGCCGCCAGGCCCACCGCCAGCCACGATCAGAAAGTCAACATAGGTGTCCTGGCTGACAGAGACGGTGTAGGATGTGTCAAAGTGTATGCTGGGTTTGATATGAGTGAAGTTGTAGAAGTATTCACCGTTCTGACCGAAGCGGCTGTAGGAGATACTACTCGTGATCGTCGGGGAGAGGTAAGATTTGTACGTGTTGGCTTGGCACGAGCTGGGAGCATAGCACATGTCGATGTTGTCATTGAAGATCTTGGCTTGTGATGCCTGCTTCCCAGCGGGACAGGAGACACAGCTATTCAGAGTGGAGTTGTAGTACTCGTCATAGTTACAGATCGTCAGGACGCAAGTAGAGGAAGAGCACGAGCAGTTGCCTGTAGAACCAGCCGGGGAGTAGGGCTGGTCTGCCGGACAGGTCTTGCAAGTCCCGTTGGAGTCGTAAGAGTTAGCCGTGCAGACGCTCTGGGAATCGCAAGATCCACTGACTGACAGACCCGACGCAGGGCTCAGCTTGCCGACGGAACACATCACGCACTGGGCCAAGGAAGAGTTCCAGTAGCCCCTCGAGCCGCAACCCGACGTACAGCTGCAAACGTTCGTGCCAGAGCCCGTGTTGTAGCTCTGTGCTGGGCATGACGTGCAGATTGTAGCCCCGGGGCTGGAATAGCTGTTGGCAGGGCAGGCCTGGCAATCGGAAAGACTGACGCTGTCCTTACGGTATGTGCCGGCGGGACAGTCCGTACAGTTCTGATATACCGAAGGTCGCATTCCTTCCGGGCAGTCGTCGATCGTGACACTAGCCTGCAGATTTGTGGTGGCAAACGCCGGACAGGCCGTGCAGGATGAAGATGCAGGCGTGTTAGCGTAGGAACCAATACCGCAGGCGTTGCAATTCGTGCTGCCTGTCTGTGCTTGGAAGTAACCAAGCGGGCAGTTTGTGCAGGCGTCATTGCTGACAGTGGGCTTGTAGGTGGCTATCGGGCACTTGGTGAAGTTCTGTCCGGTTCGGTAATAGCCGGCGATCGCAAGACACTGATCAAAGGACGTTGATTGGTCGGACAGCGTGACGGAGTTGCTCGGGCAGTTGGTACAGGCCTGCAGTCCGAGAGAGGTCTTGTAAGTATTCATGCCGCAACTGACGCAGGCTTCACCCTGAAGCGTCTTGCCTATTGAGCAAGTGCATACTGACGTACAACGATTCTCTTTCGAAAGTAGGGATACAGTTACAATCCGCATAAGAAGTGCTGCCCATCCCAGATGTAGTGAAGTATTGTGGACACTGGGTGCAGGCCGCCAGACTGATCTGGTCCTTGTAGTACCCGATATCACACGAAACGCAGGTATCCAGTCCGTTGAACGTCTTCCCGACATTACACGAGCAAGTGCTGTAGTCTTTCCTGTAGAAAGTAGGGATACAAGTGCAGTTGTCATACGAGATACTGCCCATCCCAGACGTCGTGAAGTAAACAGGACAATCCGTGCAGCGAGTGCGATTCGTGCCGTCGGAATAGGAGGCAGTGGCGCAGGCATAGAAGGAGTCGGAGACTTCAAAGTACCCAAGGTCGGAGACGCAGTTGTAGGCAGAGATGGAAGCGAGCTGCAGCGTCGTGGCACCGGTCGGGCAGTGATCACAGGTCGTGCGATCGATGTGGTCGTTGTATGTGCCGATGGGGCACTGGAAGAAGTGGGAGTTGGAGTCCTGGTAACAGCCGATCTGGGAGACGCACTCGAACGAGTAAACAGAGCCTTCTTCCATGGTTGTAGCGTACGTGGGACAGGGTGTACAAGCCACGTTACTGACGGTCGACTTGTAGTAGCCGATGGGGCACTTCCTGAAGTCTCCTGCGGCATACCGATAGTAGCCCATGAGGGCAGTGCAGGCGTCGGCTGTGCTGGAGCCTTGTAGCAGCGTCGTCGCGCCCAACGGGCAGTCGGTACAGGCTTGAAGCCCGACGGAGTTCTTGTAGGTTCCAAACGGACAGTCCGAGCACTGCAACCAGCCGTCATAGTACTTGCCCAAATAGCAGGTGCAAGAAGTCGCACTCTCCCTGTAGAACGTATAGTCGCAAATACAGTCCCATATGCTTGTTGTTCCTGTGTCTTCTGTTATAGAGAACTGCGGACATAGAGTGCAGGCTGCCAGGCTGACCTGGTCCTTATAGTACCCATAATCGCAAGGATTGCAGGTATCCAGTCCATCGAAGGTATAGCCGACGTTACAGGAACAAGTACTTGCATCCTTCCTATAGAAAGTAGGAATACAGTTACAATCCGCATAAGAAGTGCTGCCAGTCGAAGCCGTAGTGAAGTACTGGGGACACTGCGTGCAGGCTGCTAGACTAACCTGATCTTTGTAGTACCCGATGTTACAGGAGACACAAGTATCCAGTCCGTTGAACGTCTTACCGACATTGCAAGAACAAGTGCTAGAATTCTGCCGATAGAAAGTAGGAATGCAAGTGCAGTTGTCATAAGAGATACTGCCCATCCCAGACGTCGTGAAGTACTGCGGACAGGAAGAACAGGAAGTCGTACCCCGCTGATCGGCGTAAGCGCCCACCCCGCAGAGTTGGCAGGCAGTAGAACCCGTCGTACCTATGGCAGTGCCGAGCGGGCAATTGGTACAGCCCTGGATGTTGATATCACCGAAGTTCATACAGTAATCGGGTTTAGGATTCAGTCCGTTGTAGTAAGTAAACAGGTAGCGTCCAGAGAACTTGCAGTTGACAGTGTTAGCATAAGCACCACTGGGAAAGGCTGCCATCGTCCCGCACAGATTGTTGCTCGTAGGCGTCAGCGAATCACCGACATAGATCTTTTCATAATCTTCACGCATCCAACAACAATCTTTTCTGCTCGATATTGTGACCGATTGGACATCCTTGCTGCTCCCAAAGTCGATCCACCAATAGCGCGTCGCTGTGCAGACCGTATGCATGAAGTTAGCAAGATTGTTATCCACGGCGTATCTCCAAGGAAAACTGCCAGAGTAATAGCTCGACTGTCCGCCCGTACAGAGAGAGTTGCCCGTCATAGCCCCGCAGTCCTCGAGGTGTGTCATGAGCCCGGTCGAGCTGTACGTCCCCGCCACGCAGCTGTAGCCGCAGTAACGGATGGAGGTCGAGCCAAGGCCGGGAGTGGACTGTCCCGAGGCGCAGGCAGTGCAGATCGTGAGTCCGAGCGTATCGGAGTATCGGCCTTGCTAATTCCAACATGGCTCGCTTGACTCGCGTCCCAGCTCAGGCTCCCATCCCAGCTCAGGCTCCCATCCCAGCTCAGCGTGTCTCGATCTTCTTGAACCTCAATGCTGGCAAGCTTCAGGTTCATTCTTCTTGCTAATTCCAACATGGCTCGCTTGACTCGCGTGGTCGATGTGTTGCCTCCTCCGCACAGTGCTTCCATCTCCTTCCTCGAGAAGCGGCCTGTGCTCATGCTTGACTTCGACTTGATCTGCACCCTGAAACTGCCGCTTGGAGCCTGCTCCCTGTCGCGAAGTACCTTCCTCTGCTTGGCAATCTTTCCTCTCGGCACGAAGGTGTCTGCTGTGAGCTCGACTGCAAACGTCTCTCTGAGCTTGGCGTCGTCGCTGACAAGAGTCAGGTGCACCCCCTCCATCGCCTCGCTCTCTCTGAACGAGGCCAACGTCTGCTCGCAGCTGGCCGTCGATGGGCAGGATAGTACCCACTCGAGCTCTCTCTGCTGCAGAGCTCCGGTGCTTGCTCCAACAGCAACATACGTCTTCGGGCTCGGCCCCTTGCGACCTCTCTGCCCAGCACCCTGCACGAGCATGCCCGCCAGCGGTTGTACCTCTGCTGCGGCGAGACATTGCGAGATCAGTTGGAATTGATAGATCCGAGCTATGTCCGCCGTCGACATTCCTCCAAGAGCTAGGAGCTGCGATAGCTCGGCAAGGCTCCCTCCCTTGCCCCAAGGTCCTCGCTTGGCTCGGAGCTTGAACGACCGGTCGTGTGCAATGCTGACTTCAGTTGCTCTGAAAACTCGCCCGTCGATGCTGTACTCTCTGCTGCCTTGCCAGAGTGCGATGGCTTCATTCCGAAGGAAGGAGATGGTGACTGAGATGTCGTCTGCTCGTGCTATCTCAGGTCTGTAAGGTGCTTTCCACATGATGGACTTGTCGTCTCTATCGACTGAGTCTACTATGAGTCCCAGCTCCGTCAACTTCATTTTCAATTTGTCTTCTTGTCGCACATACATCGAGGAGATGCCCAGGAGAGTCATGGAGATGAAGGAGGTCTCCTCGGTGTCTTCGGTGCCGATGTAAGTCTCGACATTCTGCTGTTTGGCCTCTTTCATCTGTTGCATGAACCATGCTCTCGACTCTGGGCTCCATGCGCTCAGAGAGTCTTCAAACAGGTCGCGTCTCGCCTGCCGACATGTCGAGCGGATGGCTTCTGCGATAGCGTCGGGAGTGCATCCCCCCTCAGCTCTGCAAGCATGAGCTGTCCGACTATTCGGATAACGCTTGGTGAAGCTCTTCACTCTCTCGACGAGGTCGGCCTCCTCGACGTGGCCTCCTGAGCGCTCACCCTGCGTGTATTGGCATGATCTCCGATACAGCAGGTTGCGAACGCTCTCATCATACTGTAGTACCATACTTAGAAAGCTGTTTGAACTGCACAAACCTCTTGCTCGCAGCTTCCTCCGGTGCCCTTGCGCTCTCCCTACGCGCCACAGAGCAGCATGCCTCTGTCAACGGGCCCCTGCCTCTGTCAACGGGCCCCCTAAACCCTAAACCCTAAGAGGGAGGAGGGGAAAAGACTATACGAATGTTTTGCGGCAGCTTCCAGTTGGACGTGATAGTCTCAGTCCTCGTATAGAACCTGTCGGTGCCGTCAGCCTCCTCTTCCTTCCCCCTGTCGTCGCTCACTGAACAGCGTTCTTGCCATAGAAGTAGAGGTCGCCTGCCAGGCATGCCGTGAGCTCGGGAGGACTCGGCGGCCTCCCCTGATCATACTTAGCATGCTTTTCTTGGATCCGGTGACAAAGAAGTAGGGGATCAGAACAGGGATAGGAACGTTAATCCCGATCTGTCCCACCTGCAGCAGAAAGTTTCGCCTCCTGCCCTCCCTGACCACTGAGAGTTTGCTCACCTTGATGAAGTTCTGGAAGTACCTCGCTGCCACTCTCGAGCCTGTGAAGATCGCTGTTCCGTTTCCTGTATGGCCATATGATGACGAAGGAGAGGGTACAGATGATGTTGGTGGTGGTTGTGATATGACGATAGTGATATCACTAAAATGATGATGATGATGAGGTGGAGGTGGAACACCAAGGAGAGGTTCACAACCGGAAGGAGTCGAAGGGGAGCAGGAAGACGAGGAGGAGCCAGGAGGAGCAGGAAGAGGAGAGAAAGAAGGGGCGGGGGGCGGGAGGAGAAGGAGGAGGAGGACGTGCACACTGTGCTGAGATGCACGCAAGCACCTGAGCGCGTGGGAATGTGAGGGAGGATGAAACGAAGGACAGAAGTTGAGACAGCAGCAGAGGGAGGAGGGAGGAGGGAGGAGGGAGGAGGAAGGAGGGGGCGGCGGGGGGCGAGCCAGTGAGGAGCCTGTAACGACCAAAGGCGGTGGATCAAAGGGGAGGAGCGCATGAGAAGATATCAGGAGGACGTGGCGAGAGGGAGAGAGCGAAGAGAGGAGGTGGAGGATCGAAGAGCTTCTCATCACTGGGGCAAAGATCTCCTTTTGGTAGCACCTGCAGAAATCACGAGGCTTCACTGCTCCCCTCACCGGACTCACTGCATGCTCGTCGTCGCTTCTAGGATGGTCGGGCCAACCTAAGTTTCCCTTCATGCACACAGCCATCTTCTGATCCTCCCCTACCCGCAGATGCCCAGCTCTCCTCCCTGTTCTCCTGTTGTCAGCTTTCCCTCCACCCCTCTCCTCTCTCCTCCTCCTCCTCCTCCTCCTCCTCCTCCTCCTCCTCCTCCTCAGATTCGGGAATTCCCTCACAACGACTTGTCTTCCATCCAGATGCACAGTGCACAGATTCTGCTCCCCATCGCTGGCAGCAACGAGTAGCTGTCGCTCCCTCCACGGCCTCGTCCACTATCCCCTATCTCGCACACATCATCGATTTACTACTTTAAAGAACCCTGATGCAGGAAGATTGTGCGACCTTGACGATCCCACGAGCAATGCAATCGCATTTTCCTTTCCTAATGCTCCAACTTTCCCTCGATAGACCTTGATAGTCCGAGCAGCTGGTTTGCTTAGAACATGTCACGATTCACCAAAGATAGAATCCGAGCTCACCTGAGAGGCTCCCAAACCCTCCATGGCAGTGTATACAGCAATTGAGGTCACCATGACGATGGATCCAGCGAAGCTGCACTGTCTGGTAAGTCTGCTGTCAACACCCATATGACCAGGGATACCCTTGAACTCGTGATTCTCCGATCACTACACAGGCACAGTCTTTTGAACATTCTCAACCTTACGAGAGCATTTCATGAAGCCTGCTTCCTGTTCAAAGAAGAAAACAGGGTGAAATATCAGACCAGACAGCCAATGCAACCTCGTCTGAACACTGTACATCTCTAGCCTCGTCTGCTTCTACCTCTGGGCTTCAGTGTTGTAATTCTCTCCGATAACATCATCGCTTTTTCTAGCCGCAACTTCAAGCTCCTTCACCTGCCCTTGTTTTCTCTGCCTCGTCCTTTCTTCATGTATCTGGTTGAGGCGGATTTGTTTCTTTACCCTTTCCAACCAGAGCTGGCGATCTGGCTCCACTTAAGTAATTAAAATAAAGCAAAGATTCGAGCGACATGGGTGCAGGATTGAGTCTAAGGGGGAAGAGAAGGCAAGAGGAGCCATCGCAGGAGATTACTGTGAGTGAAATACAAGCACCGCATCACTATGAAATGTCGACAGATGAACGAGCCACTTCACCAAGTCAGATTCAAGCTGAAAAGGAGAAACTTCGTGAATGGGAGGGAGAGCTGTCAAGACGTTTGACGGCCCTCGAAGAAAGGGAACGTTTGATCCTGGCTCGAGAGCAGGTCTTGGAGAGTCAGCATTTGTCGCCAGACAAGAATGGAGCTTCACGACAAAACCTGAGAAGTTCAATAGGAGATGAGCGATGGTTTGGAGAGAGCCCGCGCTTGAGCCCGCTCAGAGACAAGACAACTCCCAGAGGACGATATGGACGAAGAAATTCTGTTCCAACTCTAATCCGCTCTCCAAATGCAAGGACAAGGCACCTTCCGAGCTATATCGTGGAAAGCAAGAGCATCAGAGTCTTTGTGATCTCGTCCATGCCAAGCAATGAAACATATCATATTCTGCAAGCAGCTGTGTTTCCTCGGCTGATCTCCGATGCCCATAGGAGAGGGCTGTCCCTCGTTTTTGTCGACTTCAGTGACACCCTGATCAAAGCGACTCAAGCCAGTGATGTATCTCTGGATCACGAGGCGGTGTTTACCAAAGATGTTGTACCTCTCTTGGACTTGATGCTGAAAGAAATAGAGCATTGTTGCATTCTGATTGGAATCCTTGCCGACCGGTACGGCCCAGGATTGGGAGCAGAAGTTTGTACATCTTTGTGTAAGATGGGTCACGACTGGATAAAGGATTTAGAAGAGGCCAGTGTTGAAGATTTGATGATTCGAAAGGCGGCCAGTATGGATTCACTGAACCTGGAGTTGTCCTATTTTTATCTTAACAGAGTGAACGAGGGTATGTCGTCGAAAACGCAATTTTTTACGGGCAGAGATGACTTTGACTTGCACGATTCTCATCCAGTTAGTTCCGTGCAGATGAAACTCTGCAGAGAAGAAATTCTTAACCGTTACAAAGATAGAAGCTTACTTGGTGAAGTAGAACATATTGTGTCAGATGCTTCGATATGTTTTTTTAATGATAGTACCTCACTTGCAAAGATGGTATACGCAGACTTTCGTTCATTTTTGGATGTACAATTCCCGATCGACCATCAGGAAGCAGATGAGAAGGAATCAATCATTTCGAACCATGCATTAGTTGGGTTTGAAGCTCCTTTGCACGGTTGGGAGCCTGCTTGCAGTTCAGGTTGGTGGAATGGTGATAAGTATTTCCGTGATTATCAGATAAATCTTGCTTATCAGAAGAGTCTACAGGATTCGGAAATATTTGTCCCAGAGGAGTTTATTTCATGTTTGGATCAATACAGAAGTTTGGAGCCAACCGAATACCAACCGAACAGGGCTCTAGCTTGTATTGACTTCCCCAATCAGACCTCGGTCTCTTTGTTTTTGGCTCTGTGGGCAAGAAATTTGCAAATGCACCAAGACAGCAACACTAAGGTGATATATCACCGCTGCTCCACCTGTGGATGGGGGTTTCGAAGTGTTGAGCGTGAGCTCTTATACATCTTGTCTGAATTGAAACATACACTTGGCCTTGTGATGGAATTGCCTTCAAAAAGAAATGTGAAGCTCGACTTTCAGCATTGGTTGCGTGTTGCTGGAAAAAGAGCGAAGTGTGTAATAATCATCGATGGCGTAGAAAGATTGAAAGACTCAGGCGGATCTTTGCTGAAAGGACTGTGGAGCTGGTTGCCAGAGCTATTGCCTGCAAATTGCAAAGTAGTCCTTGGTGTGGGAGATGAGGACTCGACCGATTTCAGGTTGCTTCGTCACGTTCAATTTAGCAGATCTGAGTCGTCGAGCTCAGGATTTGCGCCTCCTTCTCTTGTGATGAATGAAAATGATCAGCTCTATCATGTAGTAGTAAGGGGCTATTCAGCTGATGAAGCAGCTGGCATATACATGCAAAGTCTGAAAAAGTATCTCAACGACTTCAGCGATAAGAAACTTGTGCAAGACTTGTTTGGAATCGAGATACGCGAAATTCTTCAAGAAGATAATGATTTCACAGTTCAAATGAAGAACAAGTTGTTCAAATTTGGTAAATCGACCTGGGATAAGGGTGCAAGGAATGTATTGCTGTATTCACGAGTGTTTCGATACCAAGCAATATTGTTCAAGGATTACTTGCAATTTTCAGGCCCAAGCGCTCAACTAAGCAATCATCAAAATGATTTGCATGATGCAAAATCTCATTTACGTACCATTGTGACCGAGAGATCGCAGCAAGATGCGAGGATCAAATCTCTCCATTCGCTCAACAATGTAGATATCCTGTTGCAGGTCATAACTCACTTTGAGCTCATGGTTGGCACAGAATTTGCAGGCCACAATTTTCTGAGAAAAATTTTGGAATTTTTGGTTTCCAGCTATAGCGGGTTGAATGAATTTTCATTACAAAAGTCTGTGGAATTTGACATCAGAAAGGAAGCAAGAGTCAGCAAATTAGATGAATGCGCTCTTTTCATGCAAATTGTCTCTCTATTGCAGAAATTGAGACCATTCATGATTTGTGCAGCTGGACATTTTGTTTGTGAAGATGATTTTCGAGAGGCAGTCAACAAATTATGCCGCAGAGAAGTAAAGCGCATTCCATGCAATCCCTGGCTTCTACTTGATAGAGAAAGCCAAAAACTTGATTTCAAGCCCATCTTTCATGCGCAAGAGGACATCGCCGAAGCTATTCATATCTATTCGAGCGCAGAAATGCAATATAATCTTACGGAATTGATTTGTAATCCATCATTTCTCGTCTCTGCATATCATACTGTGCACTGGAAAGATTTCGTGTCTATCTGGAAAGACTTGGTAGATCAAGGATCGTCGAAGGATCTCGCTCTGACACTCCGACAAAATGGATGCATACACTGGGGCCCCATAAGTTTTGATGGTAGCACTTTTCAAGATGAGGACCTCAGGTTGAAGTTCTGCATTTTAGAAACTATTCTAATTGCAGAATTTTTATTGCTTGTACTGAATGATTCAGCTAATGCCGAACTGTTGCTTGATTTCAAATGGCGAGAAGTGGAGAAATCAGGGAAGGCCCTTTTAACTGGATTTTTGGTTCCTAAATCGTATCTCATAGCTATTTCTTTGTCACACAAAGGTGAAAAAGAACGTGCAATCACAATTCTAAGTTCTGCTCTCCATGAAACATCGAGTCAAACTGATGGATCCATACAGAATCAGTATTGGAGAGAAAAATCCTACATCGATGGTTTTCTGAAGTTGTCACGATACCGTGCAACATGCTTACTTGCTGAATTCTACCACGAGTCGATGAAGATTGTTGAATCTGAACGCTTGTATGGAAAAATAGTTTCGATTCTAACAGATTACTCTATCAAATACAGGGTTGCAAGACTATTTCTCGCAAGAATCAAGTGGAAAATTGCGCTTCTTCTTCGTGATGCTGCAAAATTTAGAGAATCACTGGTAGAGGCGCATGAGTCGGAAGCATTCCTACAACAGGAATGTTGGGAAAGTCACCCTGAGCTGACTGTGATCACTGATTTTGTCGTGAAGCTGAGCAGGAGGATCAATTTTGCTGCTGTTGAGAAAAACCAATCTGTTGGATCAATCGACATGGAGTTCATGGAAGAAAATGATTCTTCATCAGGGACAGAGAAGGTTGAGATAAATCAGGTCCCAGACTTACTGACAGAATTCGATGCTTCCTTCAGGAGAGGCGAATATGTAGTGGCACAAGCAAGAATAAAGACCGCATTGATATCAATTGAGGAGGCATTTCCAAATCAGCATGATGACTTGTGGATTGATGCTTCCCTCAAATTTTCTCGTGTCCTGGCGAGAAGAAATTTGTTTTCAAATGCATTACAGATAATCGAGAAGGTAATTCAAGTGACCCTTAAGCTGGCTCCTCGTGTCGACCATGTTTCTGTGCTGGAGCCGAAACTGGAGCTATGCATTTGCCTTTTACATTCCGGCAGCTACGATCGAGCTTTTGAATTGTTGCAGCAATTAAGTGAATGGGATCTGACATCGAAATTGGATGAGAAACATCCATTACTTGCCAAGATGAATTATGCGTTAGGAGTGATGTATTCCGTGCAGGGCCACTGTGTAAAAGCTGAAGAGTACTTTCTGAAATCCCTGAAATCACGTGAGAGTGGAACAAATGAGCTGGAAGACGAATATTTCGCATCCAAATGCTCTTTGATATCAACATATTTTGCACAGGACAAATTTGAATTAGCAGAAAAAGAGATAGGATCCACAATGATACAGGTTGAAGATAGCATGGGCAAAGGATCGTATCATAAGGCCGAGTTGAATTACTTGCTTGGAAGCATACTTCTTTTGAAGGCTAACTACAGAGGAAGTGATCATGCGTTCAGGGAGACTCAAAGACTTTTGAAAGCATGCATCGGTGATCAGCAAAGTTCCCTGCATTACCTTTTCCTTCTCACTTCCTCAAAGTTAGCAGAAAAAAGTCTAGCACAGAGAAGGCTCGAAGAAGCTGGATTCATTTATGAAAAGCTCATGGAATCTCTTAAACGGACTGAGCTTGATCTGCAAAACTCAGTTTGGGTCAGTGAAATCAAAGAGAGGTACTTTTTCTTACTTGAGAGCCTTGGAAATGTAGATGATGCAATGATACAACTTGAAGAGGCCCTGGATATACGTAAGCAGATATCTGGGCATGAAATCTCGTCAACATTTCATCTTTATGTATTTTATGCTACGCAAGAGATTTCGTTGGGCCGCTTTACCTCTGCATACACCACGATACAGCATTTGGATCATATCAAAATCAATTCTGAACTCTTCTTGAACTCGCAGGAAGCTGCCTTGGAGACTGTCAAGGCCAAATTTACTTTTATAAGAGATGTGGACTTAGACAGAGCGGAGCAGCATGCACGGCGAGCTTTGTTTCTGAAAGAAGAGATCGAGGGTAAGGAGCATCCGTCGGTCGCATACGCGAAGGTCTTGTTGAGTAACATCTTGATTCAACGCAGAAAGTATCATGACGCCGATGGCTTACTCCGTGCAGCTCATGGCACATTAACTATCATGTTTGGAAAATCTTCGCCGCACATATCGGATGTTCTCAGGATTCAAGCTCAAATGATGATCGCCAAATTTGATATAGAGAGAGTAGAAGAGCCCTTGAGAGAAGCACTCATTAACGACTCAAGTACAGAAATCGCTGCGGCTTTCTTGGAAGGAAAGGAAGATGTGACGTTGCCGAAATTTGCAAATGTTGTCAACATCTTAGAGGATTTGGAAGTAATGGGAAACTTGTACATTTTGAAAGGGAACTTTTCTGGTGCATATTTTGTCTACCGGCAAATGAGCTTGTTGGCAGAGTATATCTTTGGTCTGAATGTTAATCATCCGCTTACAGCTAAAGCCTTAATTGGTTTATCCATGACGAAACAAAGAAGAGGTGAGTACGTGGAGGCTTATGACCTTTGTAAACGGGGCGTGGATATGCTTGTTGGTATGTTTGGCACAAGGCATCCTCAAGTATTTCGAAATACATTTCATCTTCTCGAAATTCTGGAACTAGCTGGAGATTTTGCTGAAGCAGTAGATCGTTGCAACAATTTGATGGAAGCAATAGAGGGTAATTCAGTTTTCTCAGAAATTGATTTGTATCGTGTAGCAGCCTATCGGGCAAGGTACGAATACGAAATGGGCGAAAAACATAGGCCATCACTGGAATTGCGACGATTATTTTACAGCCTTGAAACAAGTATTGGATTCGGATCCCTCCTGAAACCAAAGAAGGATGAGCAGGGCAAAAATGAAACTGAAGGTGTTGAACATGATTCCATCCAGACCAACATGAAACGACAGACAGTAGTTCTGCAGGCTCAGATTTTGCTGTGGATCGCCGAGCTTGAGGTGATAATGAATTGTTTGGGATTTGTGTTGATCCACACTTTAGTTGAGCAGTTTTCGCTTGGACAAGGCCCAAAAATTGACCCTCGTTGCAATGCAGATCTTGAAAAATTTTCGAAAAATTGGAACACATGTTTTGTTACAAGCCAATTCCATGCGAAGCATGATTCAAATATCAAAGGGGAAATTTACCGATGCTTTGAACATTTTGAACTTTTCGGAAAGAGGAGAAATAAGTGCGGTTTCGAACTCTGCTTTGAAGCAGAATGGGGCGACGTCTCTCGTTGATTTGCAGGTATTTGCATGATCAACTTAATCATTTCCCATTTTTCCTCACTTGCCATAGGCACGAGCACTCATTGCCATGTTTCAAGCTGCTTACGAAGAATCGAGAAAGTGTTTTGCTGAGGTCTTGAAATATGCCCTCTGCTTTGTATTTGAATTCTAACCTCGATCGTCCAGGCACTGAGTGCGACTGAAAATCGACTCAAGTCCAGAAATGCTCATCGTGGCAAGACTCTATATTTACTGTCAGGTTTACATCGAGATGTTTTTGTCGCTCTTGACAAGATCTTTAATGTTTAGGACTTCTCACTCGAATGGGCCTGTACGAGGATGCCTATCTCGCTTTGAGTAACTCAAGAGCCCTCCATCTTGGGTTCAATCCTTCAAGCCTGAATTTACTTTACATACAGCTTACTCAAGCAACCTTAGATCTAGATTGTGGGTTTGTCCAACCTGCACGAGAGGCTCTTGAAAGCGTGCTGGACAAGAGCAGAGGCCTTCATAATCATCCATTGCGTATTGAAGCATTCTGTGAAATGTGCAGACTTGAAATGATTGAGAGGGACTTTCAACAAGCTGCAAGAAGAATACAAGAAGGAAATCGTGCGGTCGATGACAACATCAATTTGTATGTTTGCTTTTATACTTCGTTTGTACACGGATAGCTGACAATTATCTGCAGAGGGCTCACCCAAGCAAGAAAGAAACATCGATCTGATGCAGCCGAAAATGCCTTTCAGAAAATAGGCAAAAAGTCAAAAAATCTTGAAAAACTTCTTCGAGGTTTGATGAATTTTGCATGGGAACAGATTGCTACAGAAATTCGAGAACATCCCATCAAAAGCTATGCACAAGAGATGAATGCCATCTTAGCTCTCAACATTGGCGATCTTAAGCATGCAGAAATGATTGTCGACAAACTGATTCAAGAATACTCTCAACAAAATCCAGCATTAGCATCAAATGAAACTCACCCTCTTGTGGCCAAATGTTGGACGATCAAAGGAAAGATCAGATTCCGTAACGGTCTATACAAAGAATCGATGACATTGTTTGTCAAAGCGCTGAAAGGAAAAGAGCATGGAGGCCTTGATGCAGGCCATACTTCAAATGCAGAAGATTATGAAGGCATAGCTCAATGCTTTTGGTCTTTGGGTGACTATAATCAAGCAATTCAAAATTTTCGAAAAGCAAAAACACTTCGCAGAAATGCTTCAAAGAATGCCAAAACGATAGAATCAATCGCCGTTGATATTTCATTGTCGATCACATTTCTTGAGCAAGGCAGAAATCGAATTTATGACGGATCAACTCCCAACGACAATCTTGACGAATTGGGGAAAGTTGAACATCTTCAGAAGATGTGGTTTTTGCCTCAGACAGACGTAAAGGAGAGGGTCTTGTATGAACATTCTTTGCTTGATGCGGCGTCTCGTTGTGCTGTATTAGAATTTGAAAAGGACGATGTCTTGCTGGAGCGTGACAGTCCTATGGATTTCATTCTGATTGTTGTTCGTGGTGCAATTCGAGTGGTTGGGGTAGACAACGAAGTGATTAGAATTGTGAGGGAAGGAGAGCTTTACGGTGAATTCGAAATGTTACTGCAGATATCGACACACAACTCGCTCTATGCATCCGAGGATGGAATAGCACTTGTAGTGACCAAAGAAGCAATCAAACTCATATTTAGTTCAACTGCCAACATGGTTCATGATGTTTGCAAGAATTTAACTATGGAAATTCAATTGACGAAATCGTTTTCGATTCCCGATCTGAGTGACGGAGAGGGAAATATTCCGATGGACGAAATTGTGAAGAATTTAAGGCAAATGCTGCAAATGGATAACACGATAGCTCGGTCAGAGTCATCTGAATTTGTGAAATCTCAATTTCGCAATGCAAGTACGAAGCAACTGAGACGTAGTGTCATCTTGCGAAGGGGAAGTGTGTATGTCGATGCTCTAGATGAAGAAACAGGCAAGGATGAGGAGACCCGTGTGGGGACTGACGACGTGACTTCCCTACTAAGATCTTTGCATAAGTTGACGCGCAAAAAAACCAGCTTACTATCAGAGGCTCATTTTGTCTACGGCCTGTTGTGTTCTAGTCAGTATCGGTACCATGCAGCTGCTCGAGAACTGCTCTCATCCCTTCAAGCATGCGGGGAGAATTCCTTCGGCTCATGCTATTTCTCGATATCCCGCATATTATTCGAATATGTCAGGGTCATGGTTGTGTTGGGTAAACAGGATGAAGCGATTGAGGCTCTTCAATTCCATTCGACAAAACTTCTGCAGGTGATCAGGAGTGAGCATGTCGAATTTTTCCTCATCCACCTCGGTTACATGCATGTGTATCTTTGCTTGGGGGATCCAATCATGGCTGAACAATCTCTGATGTCAGCTCAACAGATCAGTAAGAGTTTTTATTCTGCCAGACACCCGAGGATCAACTTGCTGTTATCGTCAACAGCAAGACTCAGTCAGTTAAGAGGTCAGTACCACAAGGCCTTGGAATGCTATTACCAGTCCATTGAGCTAAAAAAACTTGCTGGTTTTGACGAGTACCATGCTTTGATCGCTGAGGATCAAGAGGGCATTAGCAACTGCCTTGCCATGCAAGGAAGATACAGGGTAGGGTTCTAACACCAGTCCTTGATTGTGTACTGAAAATTGATTCATAGGAAGCGGATGAGGCGTTGGAAACCGCAATCGCAGCAAGGTCGCAGAAGACGCAGGCAGGTCCAGAACGAGCCTCAGCTTTGTTGCCTTTGCTGGCGATCAAAGCAAGACAATTAAGTGATCAGGTTCTGTTTGTAAGCCGTTTTTTGCTTTCTTAACCTCGTGTTTGAGCAGGGATTCCTAGAGGATGCCCTCACTTTGGCGACCAAAATTACAGATTCATGTCAATCAACAGAAGGGACGGAATCTGACTTTGAACCTTGTTTAGTAGTTGCACATCACATTTCAGCAAATTACTTTGCATATTTGGGCCTATTTGAACTTGCAACAGAACGAGCAAATCAGGCAATACAAATATGCAATCGGCTTTATTGCCGAACGCACCCCCTTTACATCGAACTGCTCTGCTTCATGGTTGGATTAAATTTCAACTATGGGAGGCACGACCATATGATTCAGGAAGAATTGGAGTCTATAATTACAGACATGAAGCGAGCATACCCCACTGGTCATATCCTCTACTACCTTGTTGATGGTGCCATTGGCATTTTTGAGCGGAGAAAGCACAACACGTTTGGTGCCCTACTTCTCTTTCAACAAGCAATACAAGGATATCAGGTGAAATGAATTTTTGCCAATGTTTGCTTTGACACGGCGCCATTAAGTCAATCCTTGATAACAAAGAAGAATATTCAGACAATTGGAAATCATTATCTCTGAAGGTTCGTCATGAATGCTTAGGTTCTTTGATCGACTGAAAGGCTTGCAGATTGAGCTGATAGGTGTCTTGTTGGATTTGAACATGAATTTACAAGCTGCCAAAGAGGTCGAGGATTACTTTCTTTCGATTGAAGAATTCTTCGCACAGGTTCTTGTGATTGTTGCACAGAATGTTTCATGACTTGATCAATAGAACTCTGATGTTGAGTCCATTCCAGAATCAAAATCTGATATGGACTTGAACGATGACGTAGAAGGTGACGAGATCGAGGATGGCGGTGTGGTTTCAGAGGAATCGCAGCAAAAAGCAGTTTTTGATATCCACAATCTCTCAAAGGATCCAGCCAAAAGCGATGGTCATGTCAAGAAGCAATGGCTTGCTGTCCACCAAGTTGCAGGAGGAGAATCCAAGAAATTCAAAATTGGATCACGTCCGCACAACTCGAAGCTCGATCCTTCCATACCGGTACAGAGAGATGCTGATTCACTCAATTTGACCAATGACTCTGTGGACGGAGCGACATCGGCACGTCAACTTCTTCCCACATTAGAAGAAAGTCCAGAAGTGTGGGAGGGAAATGCTGGAGAAATACTTGATTTCCGATTCCCACAATTGCTCGACATCATATCGAAAGAGGGTCAGGACGGTGATTCAAAATTTCCTTCCTCACTGCACCAAAACATCGATGTCATTTCAATGGAAGATATGGTGGAGGGTTTGGGAATCAACCATTTCTTCCAAGGAGCCACTTTGGAAGAGCCATGGGAATGCCTGCATGAAACTCAATTCAAAGAGCTTCTTGTTGTTGAGGTCCCTGCTTTTCCTCTGCAGATCGTTCTCTTGGTAAAGATGTGTGCATTTCAGTTTGCATTGAAGAGTATACGTCACTTCAGAGCTGTTGTTGGACAGGCAGGGAACAGTGACCATCCATTTCTCCTTGACAGCCAGCTGCTTGAAGCTATCTGCCTCTGTGGCCTCGGTCATTACAGCTCTGCAGAAATTCTTCTGGAAAAATGCTTCACAACAAGTGTCGATGCACGTGTGCACGGAGAGCAACGAATGATTGATTTTAGGCACGACGTGCTGAAGGCCAAGGGTGAGCTAAGTGAGCTCAAGCAGGACTATGAGCGAGCAGCAGAGCTCTATCTGCAAGCCGTGGAACCATGGATACAGCAGGGAGAGACTGACCACCCCTCCGTCATAAAAGCGCAGATGCATGTTGCCAGAGTTCGCTGGAAAACAGGCATGATGAATGATTCCCTAAATCATGTATCATCAGTATGAGTCGTTTTCTTGGGTCAATACCTTTGAGTTGACATCTTTCTCAGGGCATTGCAAGCTTGTCGCGCATCGTAGGGCAGAATCATTTCGATGTTGCAAACCTTGAGATCGACCTCGCAGATATGATGACTCGTTTTGGTGTGTCTTGCAATGGAAGGGAGATTTTCTCTGAACGTGATCAACGCAGAGCATCTGCTTGATGACGCCGAAAGCCTCTACTTGCATGCCAGTGACATCCTCCTTCAGACGACAGGAGAAGACCACCCGGTATAGAGCTACTTATTGCTCAGCTACTCACCTGGTACCTCAGGTCTTCGCCCGCTGTTCAGTTGGACTTGCCAATCTTTACGACATTCGGGGACCAGCAGGGAAGAAATATGCCCAGGTCATGACAAGCTTGACCAAGTCTCTGTCCACGATTGTGAGAATTTATGGTCGCCGACACGCCATGTTATACCCCGTTCTGCAAACATATCAAGAGGTTTGTGAGAGAAGGCTTATGCCTAACCATGTTCGTTTTCTACAAGAGTGGGTGATCGAGATTTTAATCAACACTATTGGACACACCAGCGAAAGAGTAGATGACGCAAAAAATCGCTTGATTGCGATTTTGATCAAGAATGAAGACTTTCAGCGAGCTAGGACGTTGTTAGATGAGATGTTGGCAAAAAAAGAAGCGGCTTATGGCAACTTGGACCAAAGCATATCGCAAATCATTCTTCGGATTGTTGACCTTGAGATGCAAGCTGCGGAGAGGTAATGTGCGCAGGAGGACGTGTTATTTCAATTTGAAGAGTCTTGCAGGATTCAGAATGAGCAGCAAGAAAAGGCCATTTTGCAGAGCGTCATTCCATTGTTACAACGGTCCATATCAATCAAGCTTAATGCTCATTCGCTGCATGCCGAAGGAGGTTTCAACAGTGCATGCTGCCCAGAGCTGAAGCGACTAGCAAGAGTTCACGCATTGCTGCTGGAATGGAAGAATTGCGAGTACTACATGGGCAAGGCAGTTCAACTCCTTACGAATGAGATGAATCAGGCCAGAGATGCGTCTTGTCGGATTTCTCAACATCAGCAGAAGTTGCATGAGTCAGCAAAGGAACATTTTCGCGGTGCCGTGATCGAGCTAGCCGATTGTCTCCGCCTTCTGGGGAGCTTCATGGGGGAGAAAGGAAGCATTCTTGAGGCCTGCGAGGCCTATGAACAAGCGCTTTCATTGCTTCGGAGTGAACTTGGTAGTGACCATCCGCAGTGTGAGGCTATCAGGTGAGACCTTGGTAAGTGCAAAGAGGAAGCTCAAAGTTCTATAGGTCAACACTTGCATCTTTACATCGGGCACAGAAAGCATACACGCAAGCTCAGAAGCTCTTCTGATGTTCATCTTAATGCCTGATGGCTCGTAGATGAGGATAAGCCTCTGCTAAAGGCTCCAGCTGCTTGTCTATCGATCGATACAGCTGCTTCATACTCTCCGTTGTAATGTCAACATCCTTCCACCCACGTGCTAAATTGCTTTCATGCAACGATTGTAGAGCTTGTGCTGCGGGAATGTTGAAGCCATTTCCCTGGTCATCACATCAATAACTCGATATGCCTCGGCCTGTACCAGAGTGACGCACCTTCTCTTGGTGAAGCATCATCGTGGTCCCCCTCCGAGCTCTCAGCTTAGCCAGGTGTTTATCACCAGATGTGTACTTCAAGCTCTCTGTGCGGGTATCTTTGTCATCATACTTGGCCCATGGCGTTCCTTTCCAAGTGTTTGTCCCAACTCCATCATGGAAGGATCCACCGAATCTGGAGAAAACCTGCGGAAACAAACAACTCAGGAAAAGTTGATGATGAGAGAATGCGACCTTTGCAGCTGTTCTCTCAGTTTCCAGATCTTGCTTCAGTTTAGATTGTTGGAATTGTGTGAGGAACTTCGCTGTCACCTGGCAAGTTGTTATCGTCCAACCAGTCTCACATCCTTTGGGTCATAGTCACTGACCTTATCCGCGAGGTTTCCTTGCAAGACTGTGCGATTGCTTTTGTTTCTCGAGAATACAAGGCAACCCGCGACGATCGCCATAGTCACGAGCATCAGCTCCACCCCGCTACCTCTCGCTCTCCTCGCCATGGCCCTTCGACACTCCTTGTGATTTTTGCACTTGATCAAAATTATCTATGACCTCATTGCTGCCTTTCTAATTTCTCAGCCTGAGGCAGACCTCGTCATGAACCAACGTTTCCGTTGTCCCCCTCCCATCCAACACTCTACTGGCGCTTGAACAACACAACAGCCTTGGCTACATCTCTTATGACCGAGCACCCAACTGAGGAACAGACAGAAGCTTCAGGCAGCACAGCAGCAAACATGAAGCCTGATGAGCATGACTTGAGCAACCAGCCAAGTCAGGGGAACGTGGAAGTTGCCAAGAGAGTTATGGAAAGCTGTTTGAAGCAAGGGCTCGTGGAGCTCTGCAAGGAAAAGCCTTCTGACCCTGTCAGGTGGCTCGCACATTGGCTGCTTGAAAACAACCCGAACCAACCAAAGGTTATCGCTTCCATGGACAGCAACGGATGATGGTGTCGGCACGAAAAAGCGATTCTCATAAGCTGATTTGTTCTTTCGTCATGCAATGTGACTAAGATCCGGGAAGAAAACATCTCAGTTTTTATCTCAAAAGTTTATAATCAGATCCGATCGAGACAGCCTCTTGCAATTTTATGATTTAAGCTTGCGGAATGAAGTACCTCTGCATCTCAGTTACTCTTTCCTAAGTAATTCAAAGACATTACCTTGTAACTTTTTGACGATAATGTTCCGTCGAATGATCCTGACACCCGATTGATCATTGCAACATGATAGGAATCAAAGAACCTTAATCATGTATGCAAGAAACCAAAAGAAGCTTTTGGGAATATCCATCATGAAATCCAAATGATCGTCCTGCTCCAAGCTTCGTAACTTCGACAACATTGATGAGACCAACTCACCGCAGCCTCGATTACAAAATGCTGAGGGTTCGTAGCCGCATGTGAGAAAACAAATCTGAGAAACCCCTCGCCTATCACCCTTTTCCCCGTTGATCGCAGAGACTTACAGGAATTTGCCATGAGGTTTGTAAGCATCCACAATTCCTGCAGAAATTGAGAACAAACAAATAAGTTTCATTTTGCTGTCCACCTGCCGCCAGGTTGGAGGCGATGGAAATCCACTTTTTACGACGATCTTCACCATGCTGCGAATAAGAACTTTCTGTCTGCGAGAGAGTCCAAGATTGATTCTCTGACAACAACTACAACAAGAGGTCAGGCCAGCAGTTTTCTTAGATGATTGACACTAACCCGAAGAAGGGCAGAGCTCTGCCTACCCAGCAATCGAGGCACAACATCACACTAAAACAAGCACCATCATTTGTTGCAAGCGCAACACCAAGGTACCTGATGAACGTAGCACCTGAGCCGATTTGAAAGCGTTTCTAAGATCTTCATTCCCTCTGATAATCATGTTAGAAGTTCGGAAAGATTGTGAATAATTTACGATAGTTGACCGCACAGACCAACAATATATTCAAATATTACCTTCTGTACAAGGGTCTCCAAATACGAGCGGGGCACCAAAAACGACAATTTGTAAATCAATCCTGGAATTCCACAACATGTCTGCAAGATCAAGTCAAAACGTCTGGCGCTGGAATCCCACGCAGGCTCACCCCTCCATTCTGTATCCAACAAGCTTCTGAGTGCTAAAACCATTGCGCATCCACCACCGTAGGAGTGGCCAGTAAATACAACTCTGAAATGCTCATTCAGACTCAGAAACTCTGATTTCATGGTAGAATTTCCTTTTGACATTGGTTGATTTTGCGCACGCTTGCAAACTTTCAAAAATCGCAGTAGAACTGAATAAATTTTCCAGAAGATTAAAGATTGCTAAGGCATACACGTGCTGTCAAATGTTAAAGATAGGTACAAACCATTTTGAGATTGCGGCATTGAATCCACAGTGTACAGGAATTCCATGTTTCTAAAAAGCACATTCAGCGAATTGGGCCAAAAACCGCTTTCAAGGTCAGATAATCCACTTTGTCAGGCTTAAAACGATCACAGACATACGAATCCATTCACCTGTGTCACAGGCAAGCAAACAAGATCGTGCATGACGTCAATCCAGGAATATGTTCCTCGGAAGGTGACCAGTATGACAGACTCCTGTTCTCTAGAAAGTGGATCCTGTAGCTCGTTCGAACAACAACTCATTCGATTCCCAAGGTCACCTTCATTTCAAGAATCGCCCAATTCGGCTCAATGCTGGCCTACAAACCAGCAATCAACTCCACGAAGAGAAGAACGACAATTTACCTGTCCTTCAGTAGGACTGACCACAGCACTGGCATACTCGGTTACCTGTGACAGATTTCAAAACTAGGTCAGACTAATGGTATCTACTTTTTGACAAAATTGATCATGATAGATGTCTTCACACGCCCTGCATATGCTTTTTAAACCAGGAATAACGCGATAGAGGAACAACCTTGCACAAATGTTGTCCTGCTCAAATAGAACCTCCATATTCCTCTGCCAAACGGTCAGTCAATTGAAAGAAACGTTTCAGCAACGAATGAACACTTGATCTTGCTCTTCAGCTTCAACAGAATGAAAAGACTTGGAAGACGCGCTGTAGGGCTCCAAATCTCGTCTGCTCAACAAGCTGGCGTTTGCTACCAGGAGTATCAGAAAGACATCATCCTGACCATTGACAACCTGCTAGAGATCTAGGTCTTTTACCGTAATAGAATTCTGTCATAGCAAAGGTTGACTTTCAATCAAAGGAAACAAATAATCTTACTTTGGGCGCACAGTCTCTGATATTGTAATTCAGCGAGATTCGCAAGGATTTGTCGTGAAGCTTGAAATATTCCGCTCGCTACGCCCCTTGTGCCCCACGATGTCTCACTCTCTCGTCCTTCCATCATTACAGCATGCTCCTTGCATTGGACATCGCGCTCCATGCTGGCACAACTCAACCACGCTCCAGACCACGCTCCATGTTTGTAGATGTGACGCACTTTTCTTCCTGCATCATTCTCACAATAAAATAAAGCGGGGTATGCTGCCTTTCATCTGCTGCTGAGGCAAGCTTCATTTTGCGACGAAAGTCAAAATGGGAGTTTTAAAAAATCGAAACACTGAACTCTGACAGCTGCGAGTCTCAACTCCCGTGACTTGTCATACTCCCTCACAGTCTGTGATACTCCCTCACAGTCTGTCATACTCCCTCACAGTCTGTCATACTCCCTCACAGTCTGTCATACTCCCTCACAGTCTGTGATACTCCCTCACAGTCTGTCATACTCCCTCACAGTCTGTGATACTCCCTCACAGTCTGTCATACTCCCTCACAGTCTGTGATACTCCCTCACAGTCTGTGATACTCCCTCACAGTCTGTCATACTCCCTCACAGTCTGTCATACTCCCTCACAGTCTGTCATACTCCCTCACAGTCTGTCATACTCCCTCACAGTCTGTCATACTCCCTCACAGTCTGTCATACTCCCTCACAGTCTGTCATACTCCCTCACAGTCTGTCATACTCCCTCACAGTCTGTGATACTCCCTCACAGTCTGTCGTACTCCCTCACAGTCTGTCATACTCCCTCACAGTCTGTCATACTCCCTCACAGTCTGTCATACTCCCTCACAGTCTGTGATACTCCCTCACAGTCTGTCGTACTCCCTCACAGTCTGTGATACTCCCTCACAGTCTGTGATACTCCCTCACAGTCTGTCATACTCCCTCACAGTCTGTGATACTCCCTCACAGTCTGTGATACTCCCTCACAGTCTGTCAGTTCAGGAGCCTGAACGGAGTGCGATGATGGCATCGTGGTGAGGTATCATGCGAGGTAGAACGCAATCATCCCTTCAACGCCACCCTCTCTCCTCTTTTAAGTATCGCCGCACGCATTGTAACTTGAGCAATGACACCCAGGCATCTTTTCCTGGATTGATTTTGCTTTTGATTCTGATTTGATTCTTGAACAACTCGCACTTGCAAGTGAGAGTTGTTCGTCTGTGTACTTGTGCTGTGCTAGTTATCTAGGAATTTCAATGAGCACAAGTGTACATTATCAAAACATATATTTTGCATCAAGACGCCTCTTCCTCCTCCATTTGTTCCATTTCCTGTAGTAGTTTACCCTCTGTTCGAATTGAATCAATCAACCTCAGACTCCACCTCTGGAGGCGCTGAAAGAATTTTTTCAACGAGAGCAATCATCTGGTTCGATTCCATGTAAGCCAAACTCAAAGACAATGGATCATTGATATGCTACCTGTTCAAGCCTATCATCTCCGAATCTTGCTTCAGCCTGCCAATGAATCATGCGATCAAACGTCTGCTTTACCCACTGTAGAACGACGATTACATGATCGATGATAGAGTATAGCGAAACTAAAGTTGTCGGTCGAAAATTTGCAATATTGAGAAGTTCTTTCTTTTTCAAAGGCTCTTGTCCATCCTTGTTTTCGAAAATGCCCAAAGTATTTGGCACAATCAGTGAGATCAGGTTGATGCAGAAGAATCACCAGCGGTGGAAACTTGGCAAGCTCCCCATAGAGCTGCTGTACTTCATTTGGAGTGACATTGCATGAATTTGAGCTTTCAAGATACTGGATGACCTGAAAATCTTGAAATTATACGAAAATCCAAAATCATTGAACAAAATACTTGGTTTGTAGTGAGCACCGCTACCTGCAGCAAGATTCAAAATGTGCATGATTCATATTGTTCTGATTCACCTCTGGCCTTTGGAAGCCCGATTTTGAGGCTTCCAGTTGAATGCTTTTCACCAGTTCGAGTACTTCAGCATTGCATAGAACCGCGTCACAATCATCGAGAATCTCCATTTTCAAGGATCCAGATTTAGCAGACTAGCTCACAAATTGAATTAGCGTCTGAAAAATCTCATGACTGAGTTGATAACTTCATATGACTTCATCTTGATCATAAACATTTCACTCATGGATGATCTAATGCAACATCAAGGCAAAGCCCTGTCCCCCTCTTCTCCTGCCTGCTTTCTGCATGTGAACCAAAAAACAAACGAGGCGGGCCCACATGAATTCCCGCACCAGAATTTCGACATGCGGGATGTGTGCGCTGGTCCCTTCATCTCTTTCTCTTCCTGTGATGACCCATCTTCGAACCTCCTCTCGCCTCTGATCATGGCGATCCCATCAGATGCACAAGTCGCTGGTCGAGATGGGAGTACTACAGGAGCGACCGTGTATCCGTCTGATGGATCTCGACCTCCACTGAAGGCTCGATAAAAGTGTCATACGTGGAATTCCTTGTGACGTTGTTCAAATTTCACTTTCTGCTTCTATCTTTGATTATGTGAGCATGTGCTGCGAAGCCTCTCGGAATAAGCAGCTTTCCATCGCTCCTCTCATGTCTTCTACTGCGTTGGACCACATGTCTTTGCCAGATGCTGATAGATCAAGGACTCAAGCAAGAGTGATTTTGCGATCCAACAAGCGAAGATCGCGAAAAGCGGAATAATAACACTGTAGAGTGGACGGCAAAATTATCGAGTGATGGTAAAGAGTTGGCATGAATGGAGATGGTGTGAGATCTTATCAACGGCATTTTGAGTACCAGTCTATTGCTGTGCAGCAGTCAAGCAACCGATTAGATAGCCTCAATTTGGAACAGAGTTGGCGGAAGCGTGTGAGTTGGTGAAATCGATCAAAATGTTTCACTGCTGGAAGATATGAGTATGTGCAACACATTGTTAGCTGCATAACGCATCTCAGGCTTGATTGACCATGTTTGGTACTCTTTTAATGCTTGAACACATTAAACGGACAGGCTCCACGGCTCCACAAAACAGCAAAGATTCATCGTTAGCTAATGGAACGAGATTCGTCTCGATTTGTAAATTGACCTGTGAAAGAACATCATGCTGCATGAAAACATTCCAAGAATAATACCAGAGGAAACGCTTGTACCAGCTGCCCGAGAGATCAGCGAAAAAACAAAGATTAGACGAAGTCAGAGCACAATTCCGACGTAATTACCCTGCTGCAGCGCCGCACAAGGCCAAACCTGCAATGAATTTGAGACCCATCTTCTTCCTTTCGTCCTAAGATTGCAATCAATCAACTCGAAATCAAGATCGCAGCGTCCTCAAGACGTACAGCTTCTGGTTCAGCTGCCCATGCAAGAAAGGTGGTCACATCTTTAGCCATCTGTAAATATTAGTTAACCGTAAACATCTTAGGAAATTTTAAAATCGAATAATGCGCAAACCTGAGATGCAGTTGCTTCTGTCCCGTCTTCATATTCTACGCCGCCATCATAGATAGGCTAAACATGAAGGGTTAAAACGAGCACTTATCTTCAACAGCAGGACGTGAATTGTGAACATGGAAGAGACGACAAACAGACAACAAGACGCGAAACAGAGTGTACCGGTGGCATTTGAATTCTGCCGCCAGGGAAGTACGGATTCCAGTGCCTGAGCAACAACGACAGGGAATTATTTCTTGAAAAGTAGAATCGCCTATGCTGAACTCACTGTCCTTCCGCAATGACCACGCCAGCCGGTGGGTCACGATATCCAGTCAGCAAAGCGAAAATGTAATCGGCCCCACCTTCCAAATAATCATCAGACTAAATAAAGTGGATAAAATATAATCAGTTTCAGCGAAAATGTCCAGAGAAAATCAAGCATCAATCCTCAACGTACCATGGCGCGCCTTGGTGATGAGAGAAAGATCTGGAGGAAGGCCGCCGTTGTTGGCATAACGCGCCTCATTCTCGTTCTAGACAACAGTCACTTCTGGATAAGTACTCTTTACCTAATTTGGTCACCTTGTACGGACTCTGAATGTAATCGGAGAGCTTCCCAGGTCGTTCAAAGTAAGCTCCTGCACATATACACTCAAAATCATAGGCTTAGAAGCTCGCAACTACCCGTGTCATCTGGACCGTCCGTATATTCCTTCTCTGCAGCCATCTCTTTGGCTTCATCCTGCACATTGGATCAATTGTATGGAAAACCCTCTCTCTCCCAATACCTCTGTATAGCACACTCCAACCAAGTTACGATAGGCAATTCTTTTGAGCCCGTGACAAGCTGCACACACCTTCAAAGAAAAATCACAAATAATTCATCGTTTGTCCATTGAGTTAACACAACCTGCTGATACACCTGGTGTCCACGACGGATACTAACAAATCATTAGAAAACACATTTGAAAAACAATCAACATACCTTGCAGCATCGTAAGCCGCCATGAAGCCACTGTGTGACCATGGATAGGCCGCAGAATGCAACTGGTCACTTGCATACGCAGTGCTAACAAAAGAGTTAGACTAGATCGCCTAACCCCTATGGCCACCTGCTGGTGAAAATGTAGGCTGCACCACCAACGGTAGCGCCTACAGCGACCTTACCAAAGATCCTGTAGAGTACAAAGGATATTCAGTGCTTCGATTTTCTGCTGAGACGAACGCGAAGAAGGTGTGCGAAAGAAAAGAGTTGCAGGAACGAACATCGAAGGGGCGTGGGGGGCATCCAAACGAGAAACAACATACATGAGCTACTGTTTAGAGGGGGAGCGCAAAAAGGAGAAGAGGAGGGAGGATGATAAGACGAAGGAAAAGGAGGGCTGGTCATGACGAGGAGAAAGAAGAATGAACGGCGCCGACCTCGGTACACGCAGCATGTCGCGGAGCTTCCTCTGCTCGTGAGACCCCTACCCCTCTCCAACACCGGATTTTCATATGGATAGACCCGGTGGACAATGACGATATGGATGACCCTACCCACCAAGGAAGTAAAACATACCCATCCACCCACTACTGGGAGACCATGAACAAACATCAATGGGATCACCCCACCCCTCGTCCTAGTAGTGTAGCATGTTATAATAACCCTTACACAGACATGCCCTCAGAAACTACCCACCCCCTTTCGACCTCAAACCCCCCCTCCGTCGCCATTACATCCTCTTGCGCTTTCTAGGGCTGCCGCTATGACCGTTATGAATCGAGAAATATGATAACGGTCCGGAGGCCCGGCCGGACCGGCGAACTTCGGAACGCCGGGAAGTTCGGAGCCTCAGCCTGAGCGGCATCTTGACGGAATACAAGTTTGTTAGACTTGTACCGTCTAGTCCAAAGTCACGCAGATCACATCGACCTTAGTTGTAACAAGTCAGTTTTTGCTCAAGACCGAATTTAATGCACACAAAACTTGAAAGAGCACACCATGTGAAACCCAACTTCGCATCCAGACATGAGAGGACCTTAGCAAGACGGCTAGGAAAGCCCCCTCTTCGTCCCACGTACTACATTCGTACTACATGATTGCCGCGGCGCCTTGAAAACACGTCAGTCGTCTTGTTTACAGGAGAGTTTTTGTTAACTCGGCGCTATCTGACTGGCACGGCTGGCATACGATCCATCACATCTTGGTGCCGACGGTAGTACATGCCGCTCAGGAGTCCGGAATACAGTTTCGCTAACAGGCTCCCTCGGGGTGCGATCATTGTTGTACGCAGCCTGGCAGTGACTCCGGAGCCGGGGCGGACAATTTTCTGCTGAGGCGAGGCCCGGGATCAGTGTGATCGGATGGCTCAGTAAGTTGGCAACTTTTTGCGGGCTTGGGGGCTGGCGACCGACGCGGTGGGTCTCGTGGCGTACTTTGACTCAGTACGACATCAGTAACGGTGTGACTCAGTGACAGCGACACTTTTACGTGCTCAGTCTTTAGCTATAAGGCGACAACTAAGACATAGAGTCTTCGCAGCTCTTGCATATCTCTACGTTTGACATCGTTTTGCCTTCCGCTCGCCGGAAAACCTGGAAAGGTCTAGATCATTCACGAAGATACAAAGATAAGTTCAATGACAAAGTTTCACACCTTCTCCATGTTATACATATGCATAGCTTCTTGAAGGAAGGACAATTGATCAGAAGACAGATCTGCACTGAAAAGTCAATCAATACGGCCGATCATTTGTAAGGAACCACCTTCATCTGAAATGACAGATTTTACCACGTCAAGGGTATGGGCATAGCGCAATCTGAGCGCCTCCTTTTCGATCTCCAAGGATCGAATGATATTCTCTTTGCTCTGGAGTGAGACCTGTTTAGAGTGAGAGTCCCTTCTTTAAATCAGCGATTTACCTTGTACTGCAGGATCTCACCCTGAACTTTGCCGAACCGTTGAAGGCACTCTGCCTGAACCAAGTTGACTCTTTCGCAACCTTAATCTACAAAAAGAAATCGACTGACTTGTCTCATTTCGATCTCGCTCCGATATTTCTCAAGCTGAATCTTATTATCTAAAGCTTTCTCCAGCTCCTTGATCTTTGACTTCAATGTACGATTTTCCTTTCCCAAAGAGTCCAAAGTCTCCTCATTTTTCAATTCTCTTTCCTGGAAGACTTTTAGAAGTTTTAGTCGTGTTAAGGAAAACTCTACCACAAAAAATTCAGTAAAATCGTGTTCAACAACAGTCATGCTCTTCATCTGAAATGCGATTAATCAGACACAACTTAGCTCTGCAAGTATCTCTCAAGACGTACATCGTTGGCAATTGCAGAAGACGAAGCTCTCTCTTTTTCGAGCTCGGTCTCGAGCTCAGAAACTCTGCCACAGTCAAACTTTAGCCCAAAAGCCTTTTCATCGTTTCCTGCACCTCTGCTGGGTGACTTGCAGCTGAAATCTTGACTCTTCGATCTCTTTTCGAGTCTCTTGCAGTTCTGACTCCAACTCCGACAGCTTGCTCTGCAGTCTTTTGTTTAAGATATTCTGCAAACCGGCAAAGGGAAATTTCAACAAGCGAAATTCGTTCAAATCGAATTCTCTACCGGGTCATCCATGCACAAATTTCTTTGTTGGCAATACAGGTTCAACATGGTTTATGCATAGTTGTTTGCAACTGCACCTCTCATCCGTTGATGCGACCTCGTCCAGAGCCCTTTCATAGGCTGATGGTTCTTCTTCGCGCACATACGCAAGAATCTAGGAGATCCGTCAAAGCAGGGATGACAAGTTGGCCTTCCTTACGTCTCGCTCTCTTTGAAGCGACTTGGCAAGAAATGCACTATGCTTCTTTTCGTCTTCCAGTTGCTTCGACAACAAATTGACCTTGAATATTGCTAGTGAGATTGAGCGCCTGTAGCCATTAGATTTGTTTTTCTGCACCTTTTCCGTAAGAGTTTCTTTTTCGCGAGTCTCTGCATATAAAATGCTTGGACGATTGAAGCGATCAATCAGTCCTCCAACGATCTTTCAACCTCATTTGTTACTATCGCTCATCTTCCCTCAGCCTTATACCGGAATTTCACAAACAGGTAAGCGAGGAAATGCACCGCCACCAATGCTGGTCCCCTCGTAAAATTGAAGCTTGGTTTCCAGCTCTTGAATCCTCTCATCTTTCTTTGATAGCTGGATACCAGAGGTCGCAAGAACTGATGACCCTGGAAAGGCGATCAGAGCAATTGTCACTAGATTGAACAAGTGTGAGCCTGCACTTGATAAGTTTCCCTCGATTTCTTCCAATTCTTCATTCACTCCTTGAATTTCCCGCACAAAAAGAGTTTGACTTTCTGACAGAAGCCCTTTCACTTTTCTTGCCATTGAAGAGCTCTTGTTCAGTACGTCGGAGAAGTCCTCGTCTGTACACAACACCTTCAAATCATAAATGTCAGTCTTGTGGAAAATTGAAATAATTGCATATAAAACCATTGTAGAAGTGAAAAGAAGCCTCCCGTCTCCATCAGTTGTGACGAAAGCTTTGCGCAATGACTCATCTCCGGATAGCATGATCTGCTTACATACATCCATGACGGAAGCGTCATCCTGTATATCGATCTGAACAAACATAAGTGGTACTGTAGACTCTAAGACAGCAAAAGAAAAGACGCAGCGGACCGGGAGGAAAGGCCTATGTGGAGAAGGATAGCAGACAAGAACGAGTGGGAGAAGACGGGAGTGGAGATAGGAGAGCAAGGAAGAAGGATCTGAGGAAGAGAGCATCCACCGTTAGGCTTGCGAGAGAGGGTCCTTGTACATTGACAAGCATGGCAGTAGCTGCAGTGACTGACGGTGGAAAAAAATTTGACTACAGCTCGCTGCCCCTCTCTCTATTACAATAATTATATATTGGATCAGTACTGATAATTGAGTAAATTACATATATATGCGGTACACTTATTTGTACCAGTTACTCTCTTTAATATTAATATATATAGAATTCTCTCCTTTTTTTTTGACTTAGTGAAAGAATCTTGAAGCGCCCTGCGAGATCCAGTCCTTGTGTCTGTCGAACGAGTTTTCTATTCCGATCATGACTGAAAGATGTGTGGAAAGTAATGTACAACTATGCCTAGAATGATCCTCAGACATGATCTGATGTAGTTCACCGTCATCCTTGCTGTAGTTTATTTGGTTTGTCAGGAACAAACTAACAAACAGCATACTGATAACAATTGCGATCTATCGATCCCATAGCTCTACATAAATGAGAACACGTGTGGTAGAGAGTTTTGTGATATACTGCTGATTCTTTAATGATGAGTATATGTCTAAAGTAAAGTTAATACTGTGATAAACTCGTGATGCAACGTCTAAGCTCAGGCGTTGTCTACGCCCACAGGTTCGACCTGTACGTTGTCACTCTCTGTTGACAAGGCCATTGCAATATCCTCAGCGAGGGCCTGGGACACAAAGATGTCACTGAATCTGAAAGTTGAGGGCGTATCAGTTACCTCATACATGCCAGCCTCCACCAGGCTCTTGAGGTACTCGACAGTTTCTTTATCTCTCTTCGGAAGACGTTCATCGGAGGGATTCCTACTCGTCAGAGCAACTTCGCTGAACTTGGATGGAACTTCGTTACTCTGATAAGTTCGTCTCAGAATCAAACACTGAATTGCATGGCAGATCTTACCTCGGCTCTTCTAGACCTCGCTTCTACCAATTGAGCCCCAACCGTACCATTGTATGAAAACAGGTCCACATCCGAGACCTCGATCGTGATTAGGAGAAGCAAATAATTCAATGGTTGTAAGTCAGCAGATTGAACGTCGATGGATTGGAGTGCAGTGTCAACGATGGACAACATAGCATTCGCGGAACATGCGTCGACAGCACTGAGACATCCTGGCCTGGTCACCAGGACAGTTTTGTTGACCCTGGATGTCGCACCCAGGAGGTCTCTTATCTCGGCAATGAGGATCACGCTACAGTTCACGCGGCAGAGGATTGTTCCGACTCCCGGTACGCTAGTGAGCACACGGCTTGAGGGAAGAACGAAGTTGTCATGATGCGCCGAGGGCTGGTGCTCTCTTATCCTGATCTCCCCTATACGTCCGCCTACGTTGGTGGCAAAGGAATATGTGAGAGGAAGCAAGTCCGGATCCGTCGTCGTCCACAAGTTACAGTCGACGCTCCACCGATCTACCATGGCCGTTCCATTCATTGTTGAGACCTCCAACGAGCCTCCTCGAGGTGAGTCGGCCGTTGTAAAATTGAGCCAAGTCGTGCTGTACCTCCCACTCGGCCACGAGGCAGACAAGCTGATTTTGTACTGCGTTCGCGGCTGAAAGGCTTGTCCCTGTACCTCCAACACTCCAACAGCTGACACTGATCCTATGAGCGGAATCCTGCATAATGAGTCAGCATTTGCATTCATCAGATCGTAAGAGCATACCGACTGGAGCCCGTGTCACACCACCATGCGTACTTCACCGAAGTGTCACTGGTTTGTGTAGCATTTAGAATAACGGGAAACCAAGCCAAAGAACTTATTTACCTTGTAAGGACATTGATATAAGTTGCAGAGTCAACCCGGAAAATGATTGGATTATTTGGCAATGGCTGGCTAATGAAGAGAGGTTCTAGTCCGATGGGGAAATTCCCTCCCTCTTCAATCTGTATGGAAAGGCAGCATCAGATGAAACAAATTGATGTTCAACTCTTTACCGCGGCTTCAAATTGAATGTGACTAGTCGAATATCCGCTGGCTCCATCCACATCCGTCACCTTTAATCCGATAATTATCAGGATAGGAAAGAAATAGCTAGCTCCGGCAGGATGAAATCGCTCAAAATCGGATTTCCTATCAGATATTGTACTGAAACCGGTGTTGAGGGTATCAAATACAGGTAGCCCTCCCGTGTTGGCCTGATTCAAATTATACAAAAGTGTGCTTAATGTGCTTGATCGGCACTGAGTGATATAATCCTTCGAGTTCTTAAGATATGCATCTTTCAAGTATTGCTCAATCTGTAGATACATAGTTTCGCAATCGAGAAACCATTCAAATTTAAATCTCGGGTCATTCCGTCTCCAATCTGGATCCCAGCTGTCTGTTCCGTCAAGAATAATTCTGCTGTCCTGGAGAATTCTCCGGTTTCCACCTCTTATTCTGGAGACAGGTGCAATCTTGACTGGAACTATTTGGACCTGAGCAATAGATGCATATCGTTCAACAGAGTCTTCTTTGAAACCTGTCCATACACCAGCCTCGACTTGTATCGTGTAGTTTGCACCAATATCTAGTTGTCGGACAGTTTCCTCCAAGATTATCACCACACTTGTCGTCACAATGCTCACTTGTTTAGTTAACAGGCTGTTTGAGGGTTGTCCGATTGTAGACCATTGTATATCAAGGACAGCAGAAGTTGTTCCATCCCATCCATAATCGTTTCTTGTATCTAAACAAGAGCAAAGCCTCCCAACGCACGGAGGCAAATACGCTTGCGCAGAAATCACGAGCGGGCCATTTCTACGTATTCGCCTGATGGGATCGCCCAAAATTTCCACTGTTGGTAGTTTGACATCCTCGCGCTGGACTGTCTTGGATATTGAAGCCACCTGCTCTTACGGTTAGCTTCTGCACAGTGAATGAGAGACAAATTATACCATTCCTAGGTAGTTAGTGACACTCACTGTGATTATGTAAATTTGTCCAGAGTCAAACTCTGGATCGTCTGGAGAAACTTGTAACACGGAGTATTTCAAACCCTCTCCGGATGCTCTTCTTACAGCCTGCGTACCTCATCAGCACTTTCGAACACACAGAGATATTTATGGATTGACCGTGATGTCGGGATTACTTGACCAAGTGAACAAAAGCCCCTTGCTACGTGACCCGCTGGCAAAGTCAACTTCTGCTTTGAGAAGTAAAGGATCGCAAGCTCCGAAAGTTGATTTGCCATGAAGGTTCACCCTTGGCTTTGCCTGCACGATAAGATTAAATCTAATACAAAGTGAGGCAAGAAACAGCATCACCGCATAAGCGTAAGTCGTCTGAGACTGATCATAGAGTGGTCGAGGTGTTGTGGGCGGTTCCATCAGAATGTCTGAATCTGACGAATACGACGGTGCCCCGTGAGCGAAGACTACACCAGGTCGAATACGCATTGTAGCTGGAGGGTTGAATACAGGTAAGACCGTGGTTCCGAATCCGAAAGCAACGTGGAGAACTGCTGGATTTAGCCATCTGCATAGAGCTCCCTCACCCAGCAAAGTCTTCAAATCCACCAGCGTTATCGAAACTAGGTAGTGTGAACAACTGGTGGAGAGCCAAGGCAGAGGTCTGTTATTGCAGTCATCTTCAAAATCATCGGATCGACTTCCTGGCCGTGCCTTATACGGTCTTCCTTGATTTGTTCTTGTCGCACTCCATACAGTGCTACTGTCTCGCTTTCCGAAGGTTATTGTCATTCCAGCTCCATCACCATCTATCCAGGCGCAAGCTTTCTTATTCGGGTTGAAAGGCACGACTATAGGCTGAGGCTGAATTGAAAGGACAGAATGTTTGGATGAAGTTGAACTTCTTTGACCAGAAACTTCTACCACAACCTTCTCAGCGCTGCACCCTATTGCCCCTGAAACTAATTTTGGCCAGGTACACGTGATCTGAGTCCCTCCCGACCTGATGGCAGTATTTTCACATACCCGCGTACCGACATACACAGTCGCAAGGGACTGCTTCGAGAGCATCGTGGATCCCTCAAGCGGTATGGGGACCCCGAAATTATCACCTTCAATATACAAGATTCTATTGACAGTGACATCTCCCTCTGAAGGAGACGTAGTGTAAGCCAGAGATTCCACCACCGCGAGGTTCCCGCAATTCTCTTGGGCACAGTCATCGTTGCTGCTGACTGAGTAGATTCTCGGTCTCGAGTACGAGAAACCATTTGACAGATAGGAAGTTTGATCACTATCAGCTACAGTCACCGATATAGCATTACCATCCCCAGCAGGAACGATACAGAGTACTTGATCGTCACGAACATGAGCATTACCACAGCCTACACACAGAGAGGATCGAGGAAGCTTGCACTCAATTCTACCAAGGGTCGAGTCTTGGGTCCACAAGGTGCTCGAAACAGCAATTCTGATGAGGTCTGCAAAGAATCCAAAGTTTGCACCTTCGATAGTCAAAGTCCAACCCCCTCGAGTGTTGCCATGTGCAGAATTACCAGTATTTGTCTTGGTGTACAAAAGAATCGGCATTGAATACGAAAACTGGAATTCCTTTACTACCGGTGGATCACCGTAGGAATATGGGGAAATCTGCACACCCGTTGTGAAGGTGATGGAATGTGCCGAGCCAACTCCACTTGCAAGCAGACATGAAGCTGAAGTGGAACTAGTCCACATTGTAGTTTCACAATTTGTCCCACCAAATCTCGCTCGGGTTGTTGAGTCATACTGGGCGAAGTCCATTCCGATCACAGTGACGATGCTCAGTCCAGTGGCTGGGCGGCTTTCCGGCTTGACGCCTGTATCTAATGGAGAATCGAAAGACACGGCCTTGGAGAGCGTACTTGGAGTCCTGGAACCACTGGTCAGAAGTACTGATCTCAAATTCTTGATTCCATGAGAGCTTTTGATTGTAATAAAGGTATCGCTTAACCACTTTGAAGCCTCCGATGCAGTAAATTCCGTACTTCTACCTGAATTACTGCAGTCCGCAGTCGACAGCGATACACAAGATAATTCGATTACAGTTGAACCTGTAGAAGGCTTGTTTTTACCAGCGATTGCAGCCAAAGTTTCTGATGAGTCATAGGAAGTCAATTCTGAAGTACTTCCAGCCGCTTGTATCATGCTGAGTACTATTATGGAACTTTTCCCCACACCAGCGGGTAACACACAAGTTAGGGCAGTCGTGGAACTCCACGATGTCTTGGCAAAAGAGGTGACTGCAAGCAGCCCTCTTGGCGAGAAGTCGTTGGCGGCGAGGTTGAGAGCGGATATCAAATGACTTCGCATAGGTTTGGATTGCGATGGCGGTTCGTTCGAGCCGAAAGTCTTGAAAATCATTTGGTTGCCTTCTGATGCACAGAGTGAGATTCCAGTGAATTGATACGCGCATACTTGATCGCTATTTAAGGGCATCTGGTTGCAAAGGCTGATGTTTACAGAAAGTTCACACAAAGTCACTAATGTTGGCACTGCAGTCTGCGTCTTTGACAAACATTCAACCTTGCCTAATGAAATCCATCGCATTTGAGAGCAATACGTGTCTGACAAATACAATTCCAACTGCGCAATATTCTGAATGGACGATTCAAAGTTCAAGATGAAGGGAGATTGGCATTCCACATCGAATTGTTCATTCGTAGAATTAGGTGAAGAAGTAGGAGCCATTCTCACCTTGACACTGCTGCATGGAAATCCATTCAAAAATCCATACAAATATTTTGATGCTTGAGGCTGCACTAATGTATTGTTCAGGGAAGGTGGCGAAGTGAGAACAGAAACTATGCTTGAAAGGTTTGAGCATCGACTACGAACAACAAAGAACAAGACTGGTTTTGGCATGATTTGAATGGCAGAAAATTTCAATACATCGAATGATACTAATTCGGTGACGGTTCCAGTCGCACTTGCGGCGGTGAGCATAACCTATATTGTAGAACGATGTCAGAGATAGCAAAAAGAATGGCAAAATACAAACCTTGGAAGACTGGCCCGTCCCCGATGCTGCTATTGCGAGTACTGCAGTGTCTGCAACCCACAATGTCCTGAGAGAATCTGTCTGTCCAGCACGCACACGTTGTGTATGATCAAGTTTTCCCATGTTCTTCCCGACCAAGATCGCACGGCTTTTGACATTTTCAAAATTTGTATTGAAGCTGACTGGTCTCGAAACGTTTTCTGTCACACAAGGCATTGTACCTGTATAATTTGTTGATAGCCCACAAGGATTTGATTGGATTCTATTCACTTCTGGGTTATCGTAAGACAAAATTTCCGAAGAAGAGCCAAGATTCAGAAGCAATGTGATTCGAGCTTGCATGGAATTCGCAAAGCCTGCGGAAACCTGCCAAAGAAGTCATCAGCATCATGTCTCAAAATGACAATTAAAGTACCTTGCACATAATCGTTGTCTGAGATTGCCAAGTTGTCGTCTGGCTGTTTGAAACATGTGATCGAATTGCTGCACTCATTGAAGTGTGTGCAAAATTGCTCCCATGAACAGAGATTCTAGAAGATCCAGTGAAGGGAAAATTGACTTTGGTAAAGTTGCTATGGATCTGGGGTTTGACGAAAGAGATCGTTTCAGTACCAGTCCCCGCAATGAGATTCACTGTGACTTCAAGTTTGCAGGAACGACTTGCACCGGATGAGCTCTTTGCGTGAATGCTGGAGTCGCTTGTCCATACAGAGACTTCTGCACTTGTGTCGGATGTTCGCATTGCCAAGGATGAATGAGAAAATCCAATGCTCACTCCTTCCAAGTGCAGCATGACAGATCCTGTGCCGGGATAATTTTGCCTGTCCACAGACGATACATAAACAGAATCATAGGACCAAATTTTGCTTATTGAGCTCACTTTCTGATGGATTGTCAAGATCATCATTAAACTCTGCCCTTTCTGGATCTTACCGGCCTCTCTACAACTCAGAGTTGAAAAGCTAGTCCAGATGGTTTGCTCACAAGCTGTGAATGCTCTTGCACTTAAAGTTTTGGTACTGAAGCCATAATTTGTGCCAAAGATGGTGGCATCTTTAGATGGCAAGAAAACTCTACGATTGTAGGACTCCATGCCTGATAACTTAGGGACATCAAAGGATACTGAGTTACTTCCACTTCCAAGCTGCAATGATACCGTCAATGAAAAAATAGATGTGAAATACTCCAAAGGTCCTTGCTTGCAGACAATCAAGGTATCACTTTGCCATAAACTTCGTTCACATGCAGTCAAAGCCGATCTGGCATTCGACGTGAAATCATTGAGACCTACATTAGAAGATCTGAATGCTATGGGTAATGAGTCGATTGGAGCTCGATTCATATCCAGGTTGATCATATACTGACGAAGGAATGCTGGTTTATCAAAGGAGAACAGCACTGTCGTAGTTTCTACGTGATGGTTTTGCGTAAGTTTTACAGTTTGACTTCGAGCCTCACCTCCTGAAAATTTGCTTTGCAAGGAAGTGTCACTGGACCATAGCGTTGCATCAGAAATTGTTTTCTGTACAGAAAATGCCAATGTATATCCAGAAGAACCAAATCCAAGTCCCATCAGCGTTACTTTGGTCGCCCCTACTGGTTGCAAATTAGCTCTCTTGGATGTGCTGATGACATGTGCATCGTAGCTAATTAAGTCGCTTGCACTCGCAATGATGCAAAGAATACTCACGACAACTTTCTGGTTCACTTCTTTCAAAAAGAATACTCCACTTGCAATGTGAGCAGTTATACTGGAAGATGAAACCCAAGCACTCCTTTCAAATGCTGTTTGTCCAGAGCGTACAGCGATGGATAAGGACTGCGATGGTATGATGCCTGGTATGAGCATGATCTTATTTGAGCCTGTCGAAGGTATGTTATGGTCTTGAGCTGAACTCAAGATGATTTGGTCGTATGATACCATTTCACTTGATGAACCAACTAAAACAGCGAAGGTAATTTGAGCTGCGGATGAGGAAGATGATCCAAACGAGAATTTACACGCCACAGATGAGTCAGATTGCCATCGTGTATTCAACAATTTAGATCCACTGATTCTTGCAGAGGCTGAATTGAAGAGTTCGCTGTTCATTGCAAAGTACAAGTACATTGGGCTTTCCAGGAACATGTTAGTGCCCATGACTCCTGTTATAGGACTCGTATCGTATGAGATAGTGTTGGAAAGAGTTTGCGACACAGAATTGATCGAAAATATTACAGATCGACTTTTTTCTTGACCGCTGGGAAATTTCACCACGATGCTGCTATCGCTGTTCCACAGTGAGCTGGAAGATTGTGTTGATGAGATCCGCACGCTACTGGTATGGATTCTGGTTTCGATCTGTTTCTGGCCGATCACAATTATAAACATTGTTGTTGATAGCTTTGCCGAATTCAGTAAGGAGTCAGGAGGTATGCTTCTGTTCTGAAGCTTGACTTGCAAAGATGGATGATCAAAGGTCAAAATTTGAGATATTGTGGAAACTATCACACCGATTGACACGCTTACTTTCTGGGATGACTGTACACAAGTAGCAGGTTTCACGACAATTGACGAATCGGATATCCAGCGTGAAAATTCAGATGAAGTTTTTAAGGAAACTCTAGGGGAAAAGGATACGGTAGAAAAATCTGAACCATGCAAAGATATATACCCACTCGGACGAAGTCCATTTCCCGGATTGGGCGTACTTAGTGTCGGAGAATCATATGAGGAAGCTTGTGAAATTGAATTGATCATGGAATTCAATGTTAACAATAGAGCATGTTGTGTCCCACTTAAGCCAGTTACAGCCAATGATCTCAAACTTGAGTCACTGTACCATATCGTGGAAATGGCGTTGCTGTATCCAAACCTTGTAGACGGAGAATAAAGGGCACTTCGCACTAAAGCATATCCACCAAGGTAAAACGCGTCATGGCCAGATGATTTAACATTGCTCTGAGAAGTGGTAGAAATTGTGTGTAAATCAAAAGTAAAAGTACTGAAGATCGAGCTAACTCTATTCAGAGTTGTAATAACAAGAGATGAATCAGGCTTTAGCGAACTTGTGCTCCAGTGTGAAGTGAGACATAAAATCTGAACAGTTGAAATCCAGACCGTGGATAACAAGCTAGTGCCAACAATCCTACCACTGATTGAAAGCTTCCATGTAGAATTTTTATCGAAACCAAACACAATTAATGATGTCCCAGAGTCCTTTGATTGGATATTTGACGGTTTCGATTTCGACAACTCCACAATGTCGAAAGAGATCATACCAGAGCAGGTCCCCGTCTGTATTGCAGTCGTGATTGTGATCTTTTCAGAAGCTTGAAAATACCCAGTGAACAACGAAAGCAGCGAAGTCTCAGAAAACCAACTGGTAAATTCTGAATGCGTTTTCCCAATACGTGCTTGACTCGTCAGATCGTTTCTTGCTGCATTGAAGACGCTGAGATGTATCCTCGTGTTCGACCCTGTGATATGATTATATGGTGCCACTGAACTGGCTGTACTTGACTCATATGAAAATATATCTGTTCTAGTTGACACTAGGACACTTAATGTCACAGCCACAGCGTGAGATCGGGCTGCGCCTGAACTGACCATGCAGAATATTTGAGAGTCAGACATCCAGTTGGACTGTTTGCAGCTTGTACTCGCCAGTCTGATTGTTAAACAATGTGTCGAAATGCCAAAGTTAAAACCTTCAAGTCCAATGAGAAGATTGCTTTTGTTTTGATGCAAAGAAACTACAGCAGCTTGGTCATACGAAAATATGGTAGTGGTTGTACATCTTCTCTCAGTCGCAGTCAAGCTCGCTCGCACCAGGTGCCCAACTCCAGAGCTGAGTTTCAAGCATGACATTACGGTGTCTGATGACCAAACACTTTCTTCACAAGAGGTAAAACCGACTCTCAGCTGATGACTGAAATCATTCAATGAATAACTTAAACCGGTGGCCACAAAAGGAATAATGGACTGTGTAACTTTAGAGTTGTGACTTGTTTCATGGATGGTCTGGACATCATATGTAAAGACAAGTGAAATTGTTGAAGACGATGAAACATGAGTCAGAGTCAACGCCTTGGATCTATCGATACCATCACTAAACTTGCAAATTATTTGCGTTGCTGAATTCCAAGCTGTGTATTCTGATGAGGTCCCTCCCATACTGACAAAATGTTAGAGTAAAGAAAAAGATTGACTTTGACTCACCTCATGGAAATTGATGGAAGGCCAGACTTGTTGGAGGACTGAACAGTGAACACTTTCACAACTTTATCTGATGTGCTTTGAGGAGGTTGATTGACAGGAATCAATCGATTGTTGAGTTGAATTAGGTCTGCAGAAATACTATCTGACAAGGTACTGATACTGGACATGACAGTTACCAGAAGAGATTTTGATTTTCCCTCGGAAAATGCAAAGCTACATGTCACTGCTGTTTCAGCTATCCATAGTGTTTCTGTCATGACAGTCCCTGCTACCTGAACTTTGAGAGTGAAATCATTTGTTCCAAGGTTCCGACCTTGCACAATTTCAAATGAGCTCTCTTGATGAATATTTTGAGCCTTGACTGCAGACGCAAAGCCAGCGTCATAAACAATCGCCCTTGTCTGAGTCCCTGTCACAATTCCTGCTGTCAACACAATAGTTTTCTCCCCCCCAGAGCCACTGCATGATCTAGCAATTATAGCGCTAGAAGAATACCACGTCGTGGACTCTTGCGAAGTTCCTATCATACGGACTCCCACGGAGTTATCAGACAAGCCAAGTCTACTACCTGTAAGCATCAAAAATGTTGAACCGGTCCCAACAAGGTTTTGAGTTCCATTTACGATTGTATACAAAGACGGCGGTAAATATGATATTGCTTGCGACAACGTACTGTTTTGCATGGAGACTGTAAGGATTATGCTGATTGAAGCCCCATGATATGCATAGGTTACGCCGAGGACAGCTGTGTCTGACTGCCACACTGTTTGAGAAGCAGCGGTGTCACTTCGGATAGCAAGCGAATAATCGTATACTCCAAAAGAATTCCCATCAACGAATACAGTCATCCAGTCACCAATGGAGGTGTTTACTTGAATTCCAGTAGCTGTGCTCAATTGAGGTGCATCAAATGAGAAATACATTGTGGTCAACCCAGTCATTCCTCCAAAGACCATGGTCATGTTGATATAATGCGATACTCCAGGTTCTGATTTACAATATACCAATGACTCACTTACCCATTGCACAGAACCTTGTTTCGTTGAGCTGAAATAGACGTTTCCACTGTAATCTGAACTGCCAAAATTCGAGCCAAAAATTGTTGTCGTGCCTACTCGTATAGATCGAAGGTTTGATGGTGAAACTGAGCTGCTTGATGGCGAGTCATAGTAAAAAGCAGTGGATTGAGTGATGGAGTTGTTCTTGACATCCTCAATCCTCACATTGAGATTGAGCTCCTTCCCAACCCCTTTTGCAAGCAAACAGGTCAGACTTGTGTCACTTGTCCACGTCGTACTAGTACATAATGTGTACCCTACTCTGCCCAAAATTACTTTGGGGCGAGTTGACTGAAATCCGAGGCCAGTGATACTCAGATTTACGTTGCCAGAGGTCGGGCCATTGGTATCCAGGAGAAGGATTGGAACCCAACTTTCCTCGCAGGTATCATTGGTGTTGCACGACAACCATGTCACATCAAGCCTTTCTGCCTGAGTTATGTTTACCGGAACCTTACATACCATTGTAGACTCACTGATCCATTTGTTTGCATCACAGTAAATATTTCCAATTCTAATGATTGGAGAATAGTCTGCAGAACCAAAGCCTGCTCCAAGTACTGTCACTGAAACGTTGCCGGAAACTTTCCCGTCAGTTGTATTTACAGATTGTATTTTTCTGAAGTAGGTGAAGGCCGTGTTTTTGGATCCTACCAAGACACCAACAGTGATTACGAATCCTCGTGCAACACCTAGACCATTTGCAGTAGCACAAACAATTTGTGTATCTGACTTCCAGATGGTGCTTGAACAAGAGCTTTGACCCATCCTGGATCTAAGCGTGGTCATCGTTCTAGCGAAGGATTTGCCCAGGCCGTTGAGCACTGTTCTATTCTTGCCACAATAAAATTCTGTGCAAGAAGGGTTCATTGATTCAAGATAATCAATCGAGTCCGGAATAGGAGCCTGATAACTCACCAGTTCATTGAATGTCTGTACCAAATTGCCAATGGATATGATGACCTTCTGAGATGCACTTGCTCCTGAAGGGCACTTTACAGCAACACTTGTTGAACTCGTCCATCGCGTTGCTTCTGATCCTGTTGAGCTCAATCGTAGCTTAGTAGTCAGAATGTGTCCTTGATACGGATCTGCAATGGCAACTGCCTTGTCAAGGGATGAAGCACCTGTTGTAGCCAGTATGGATGGTCTGAGGCTCTTTTGAGAAGATATCAAATCATATGAAATTGTATCCGTTATTGTTCCTATGGACAAACGGAATCCAGACGCTACATTTGGCCACATTTGTTCAATGTATCCTTGAGATCCAGCCGTAATAAGAAGTCTTTGAGACCCGGCAAATCTCAACAGCGCATGGCAACTCACAACGGAGTCTGACTGCCAGATAGTCTCTTCACATACACTTGATCCAACTCTTGCAGCCACGCTTCCATCATCAGCTCCAAATGATGTACCCGTTACAGTTGCATGGTTCGAATTGATGCCAATGTTGCATTTACCCACAGAAGAGATGCTTGGTGAGGAATACGAGAAAGCTTGACTGAGCCTGTTTACATAGTATTCTGGCGGCTGAAAGAAAGCAAGTCAGTTGATTGTATGAAAAAGATCAAATCTAGCAAACATTTACCTGCAAGTCAACGACGATATCAAGCATTTTCCGATAAACACTGCCTGGAGGTAACCTGAATATGATTGAGCTATCAGAATACCACTTAGTCTTTGTCGCATTGGTCATGCCAATCGTAATGAAAGAGGATTTTTCCATCATTCCAAATCCACTGCCAAGTACAGCATAATTTGCATTCGTATTGATTGTAGGTCCATTAGAATAGCTCACACCATCTTCTCCTCGAATCTTGCCTGGGTAAGGCCAATCACCATCAAAGGAAAATGCTTTGGTCAGAGATCCACGAAGATTGACGGCGACAGTCAATTCAACAGCTTTAAATTTGAAGGTTCCCCAAGCTATTCTTGCTCTCAAGGATGTTGTTGACAACCAATCAGTGCTCAATGTTGCAGTGGGGTGAACTCTTAACCTGATTGTCAGATCAGAGTTCCCTCCAAAGTTCGAACCATGCATGGTGCCCACATTCGAAACAGAGGGCAGATTCTGCCTCGACATTGTGGAGAGTGTGATCGTGTCGAAGGTGACAGCGTTAGAGAGTGATTGCCACTGATCGAAAACTGTCACAACTATACTTGCTACGCCGGGACGAATTGGCCCACTTGCAGTTCGAGCAACAATATATGTGTCACTTTGCCATTCCGACTGTTCTGAAGCAGTGAGTCCACAGATTCGTACAGATGCACTGGAATCAGAAGATCCAAATTGTTCTCCAGAAACTACAAATAAAATGCTGCTTGTAGACGGAACATTTAAACCAGGCATGAGTTCTTTGTCTTGTTGTAAGCCAATCATGGCTATAGCCTGATAATCGTAGGAGAACCATTCCAATGCTGTCCTAACCATTGAGCTGGAGACAACTAAAACTTGGGAATATCCGATTCCTGCTGCAGGTTTCACAAAGATTGCACTTTCAGAATACCACTTCGTAGACTCTGCTGTAGTCACACCGAGCTTAAGATGTAAAGAAGAATACATTGCACGATACACAGAGCTAGTAGGAAACGCAACAAAGCCGGGGAATCGGGCAATTGCCGAAAAATTCATCGTCATTTGTGCTCTTGGAAAATTCATTCTGGCTCTGGACAAAGGTTGGAGTTGTATCATATCGTAAGATAATGCCTCTGACAACGTCCCCGATGGGTTTAAGATCGCTGAAGACGTTATTCTAATGATCTTGGATCGCATTTGGCCTGATGGAGTCTTAAGAAGGAGAGTCGAATCACTGGACCAAACAGTACTTTCGACAGCAGTCAACCCAACATTCCCCTTTAGAATGGAATATTCGTTTGTACCAAATGATCTCCCTACTATCGTTGTGCCCTTGATGATGAGACGCATCGCAAGTTGCATGTCATCCATACCCTGATTGCAAGAAGGGACTGAGCTGACAACAGCCGAGTCAAGGGAAATCATGTCGGTAACACTACCTCCAACCTGGACGGAGGTTGTTAAGGCCATTGACCTAAATTTTCCTGATCGAGGAATGCCAGACGGAGCATTACCACGAACCGCACTTTCACTTTCCCAAGAGGTTTGTTCGCTGGAGGTGCTCAGAAATCGTGTAGTGACGCTGGAAAGATGTCCAAAGTTGACTCCAACATATTCTAGAGTTGCACTACTCTCCACTGACGCTTTTACCAGAATGTTTCCAAAATATAGAGGAAGAGGTCTCCTTGACGTGTTCAAGGACGAAAAGTTATTAGAGGTCAGCAGCAAAATTGGCGCATCAAAAGTCAAAGCAGCACTAATGGTGGACAGTTTCCCAGGGAACATCGAGATCTGCAGTGCAGCACTCCTTGCGATGGACGATGCTGCCAGACCTTTCAGTGTAGAATCAGATAGCCATTGTGCCTTGACACTAGAAGTTGATCCAACTTGCACTGCTGCCGTGTATCTACCATAACCGGACCTCGGGCTGCTCAAAAGAATCCACAGGTTTTGTGTAGGCTTGGTCGGCACGGCATTTGATTGTGGTACTTGACTTATGTCAGGCAATGAGTAAGTAGCCATGTTTGTGATCGATCCAACTTGATCGCAAATTGTCAACACACTTTTCATACTCATCTTCTCACCATTCGATACACGTGTCTGAACACTGGTATAGCTTAACCATTCACTTGCCTCGCAAGCAGAAAAACCAATTCTTGCACGCAATGAGGAGTCGTGATTCAAGATTGCATCAGCAAACAAAGTCAACTCAGCTTTTACATGCTTACCAGTGTTCATCCGAGCGCTCAACAGTATGGGCCTGGCATCGTAACTGAACGAATCACAGATCGTTGCCGCGATTGAGAATTTGGAGGTGTTAGTCGCTCCTATTGTCATAGCGATGTGTAATGATCTTCCATTGCCTGCTGCAGGAGCGCAGAAAACCGCAGACGTGGAAATCCAGCGAGAATCTTCAGAACTCGACCTACCTATCCTCACTTTAGACGAGTATTCGCTCAAACCTAGATTAATCCCAAGGATTTCCACCTTGTTCGGAGCTCCTCGGATGGAATTTGTCGGATGTGATGGATGCAAAATTGGCCAAAGATCATAACTGAAGCTTTGGGATAGTGAAGTGACAGATTGCACTAGAGTCAGCTTAACAGTGCAGTCATCAGTCAACCCCCTCGAAGGTTTGCATACCACGATCGAGTCCGAATTCCAGATTGAAGATGAACAAGCAATTACTGCTAAACTGAATTGCTGACGGCAGAAAGGTGGCACACAACCACCGACAGAAATTTTGCTTGAAAAGTCATTCACTCCCAGCTCAACACCAATTACTTCCACCGAGGATGATCCATCGCGAGGTCCGTTCGCACGCATCAAATTTGATATAGCAGGTTTGTCGAATGAAAAGACTTCGCTCAAGCTGCCTGGAGTTTTGGTCACAGTTAAAGTCGTTGACAAGGTTTTGGAAACTCCAGTTGTTGTTCTGCAGTAAATTGAAACGTCAGAAATCCATGTTGTTGCTTGAAATGCGGAAGATCCAAGCTTTCCACCAACTGACATATCTAACAGACCGAAGTTTGAACCTATAGCCTCGTTTTCAACGTAAGAAATATTTCGAGACGCATTAAAGAATTGCACCAGAACGACCATCGGTAAAACGGCTCCACGATTTGTTATTACCAACTGTGACAGTTCTGCTGAATCGTATGAAATCATCATGGTGACTGATTTTGGAAAGTCACTGGTAGTGATAGAGATTGCAAGGCTTTGTTGTGAGCCCTTTGAGAGCTTGCATTCAATTGAAGTGGCACTCCTCCAGTTGGTGTACTCAAAAGCAGTACCCGACATTCTTCCTGTTGTACTTGGGGTGGTTTTGTGGCTGAAATGCGAAACACGTATCGACAAATTCAAGCCTTTAGCTGGATGAATATTTGATATCTGTGCGTTTGCTACCCCATATCGAGAAAACAATGCGGAATCAAACGAGCAAGACTCTGAAAGTGAGTTGAGAAATCCGAAGACGGTAATCGCGATCAATTTGCTCCCACTCAAGCCCCTTGGAACTTGGCAAAATGTACATGTATCAGATATCCATACTGTGCTTTCCATTGGGGTCGCCCCAATTTGTGAGGTAACGGTTGTATCCAAGAAAATGAAATTGATCCCATACAATGTTAGCTTTTCCATGTTTCCCGGAAACATGTTTGATGGTTTGGTGCTGCTCATTGTAACTATGTCGTAAGAAAAAATTTGCTCTGTTTCTCCAATCTGACTGTCTACTCGCACAGCCAAGGACTTTCCATCACCATATCCAGCAGGAACGGGTGACAAGATTGAGGAGTCACTGCTCCATTGCGCAACCTGATATTGTGCATTTCCAAATGAGGTTTCCACTAACTGATCACTGACACCAAAGTTCTGTCCAAAGACTGTTGCATATCTCCCATTCGCATTTGTAGGAGAGTTTGCAGCCTGAACTGCATTGATATTTGGCTTGTCGTAGTAGAATATCGGAGCATCGACCTCGTCGAGTATAAGAGTCAACCTTATAATACTCAGAGTGATACTGTCGACCACACCGGTTCCTGGCGGAGTTATGAAATAAATTCTACTATCACTCTGCCAATAACTTTTGGGTGACAAAGATTTACCAACCACAACTCCAACAGGTACTGCACTAACCCCGAATTGATTCCCTTCAATTTGTATGCTGACATTTCCAGTCGCGGGAGAATTAGATTTACTAATTCCTGTTGCGCTTGGTGCGTCATAGATGAACAGATCAGATGTACCATTAATGATTGCTGTCTGATTTCCAACATTCATTATCATTGGAACTTTAACAAGACCTAAAACAGAAGGTTAGATTTGAAACTTGCAAACAAGCTTAATTTACCTTCGATTGCCGGGGCTGCAAGCGTTGAAAGATTTGAAAAAAGAAATACATGTATGAGTTGATCGCAGGAAAGAAAAATCAAAGCTTACCTTGACAGAGTGCTGAGCTGTCCGAGACCCATACTGTTGCTTGACATGATTGATCCCCGAGTTGACCTCCGAGGGTAGAGTCATAAAGGCCGTAATTAAATCCGAACACTGTTAGACTGAAGCCGCCATTTATTGGTCCATTCGGTGGTAACAATGCCGTGGAAGACGGTGGCAAAAAGTTGAATTCATTCATGTTTTGGACTGTTATGGTTGGAATGCTCCAAAGCGCTGCTGACAAAACTACCTCCAGATTGAATGAGATACCGCTAGCGATGTAGGAAGTTAGAGATGTTGTTGACAACCACTTGGTGACCTCCATGGCTGTCCCGCCGATTCGTCCTTTTCCAGTGAGATCGAATGGTCCAAAGTCTCGTCCATATATTTCAACTTGCTCTTCGGCGAGTGTGGAAGAAAATGTTGGACGTATCCATATCATGTCGGGTGCATCGTATGTAAACCCCTTGGTAAAGCACACCTTTGCGAGTGAAATGGTCAACGTGATTGGTAGCTCATATCCGGTTCCGTGTCCCGCTCGAATGGTGAGCCTGGATTCCGAATTCCAGCGGGTCATTTCTGAAACTGTTTCGCCTAATCGAATTTGTGGGCTGGTATCATACGTGCTGAAGCCGAACCCAGCAATCTGATGTATTCTTCCCGCCAATACACTTGTGTGCGGTGGAATGATTGGCAATTGTGTTGCATTGGAATCTCCAATCGAAGGGAGATCAAAAGAAAATGCCTGGGATATCGAGCTCACGATAGATCCTATTGTTACTACTATTTGACCATTATGCTCTACACCTTTGTACTTCATGTATTGATTGGAAGCACGTATTACGTTGATTGGAATATTTCCATTTGGCGTTGTGGGAATGTATCCACTAACATGACTACTGTACATGAGGCATTTGATCTGTGTGTTGGATATCCACTGAGTCGCTTCGCATGATGATTTTGCAATTCGCATCCTGGCTGTCTCGATTTCACTTCCTTGTGGGCTGCTGATGTAAATTGAAATTGCTGATGTCACTGGACCATTCATTCTCATTCCTAAACTAGCAAACATGAAAATTGGCATATCAAAGGACAAGCTGTCTGTCAAACTAGATGTCATAGTTGAGATTGTTGTTATTATAGAATGTGTCTGTTGCGACCCCCTTGCAAAGTTTGCTGCCAAAGATGTGGCACTTATCCAATCTGTAGCCTCACAGCCTGTTTGTCCCAGCCTTGAAGCGATTGTACCATACAATGCTGAAGGTCCATACCAATAGATAAGTAACATTCTAGAAGAAAGCTCATGCAGATTGAATTGCGACATGGCCGTGAAGTGAAGATTATCAAATGTGAGAGTTTCAGAAATTGTGGACATCCTCTGTGCACCAGAAGAAATTGCAACATTTTTGCTCGATTGACAGCATACCAGCGGAGCATTGCAAACGATTATCGTATCCAGTAGCCATTTTGTGGCTTCGCATGCAGTAACTCCAGCGCGAACGGACGGTGTTGTATCAAAATTCCCAAAATGTTTTCCTAACAGGTACAATGGACCTTTGGCAATTGCAGATGCCGCGGAATTTCCCACATACACATTGGGCGTTAAGAGCGAGGTCATTACAACCCGAGAAATATTGAAACTACTCGAACCTGAGCGTTGCAGCTCACGTTCTGAATTTGGTTGCGAAACTACAAGGTTTACAATGGAAACATCATAGGAGTGCGATTGACTTAATGTAGACCTTCCTTTATCCGTGAAGGAAACGATGGATACGACGACATCTGCATGATTGAAATATGAATTCGGTGCAGGAGTGCAGAGGAGACCGCTTTCACTGATCCAAAAGGTTGCCTCACATCCTGTACCACCTAATCTTACCCTGCCACTGAAGTCTGATCTGCCCACATCTTTTGTGAAAATTTCAATACTTTTATCAGAGCGAGCGAAGTGATTTAGCTGCTGCGCGTGAGATACACTGGCGTCATCGTACGACAGAAATGTGTAATTGCAGGTCAGACCTGGGCTTTGGCCAGAAACGGTCAGATCCAAGCCCAAGTGTGAGCCAAGGTCATTCACTCCAGAGGCAGTTCGTGTCCATATTGCTGAGCCTGAGATCCAAAAGGTCGCTTCGGCAGAAGTTGAGGCATGATATTTCAGACCACTTGCGAAGATCAATCTTGCTTGTGGAGAATAATCATGTTGCGAGAAAGACGAGCCAATGATCGAAATAATGGAACCTGATGTTGGAAAATTTGAGATGGCTTGAGCTGAATTCAAGTTGTACACTCCAGATATCTTAGGGGAGAAGTATGAGAACAAAGAATACTTCGTTCCGATTTGCCTTCCAACTGTCATGCCAACGATCAGTCCGTTTCCAGATCCTTCTGCCACTCGACAACTGATTGAGGAGTCTGATATGAATTTTGTGCTTTCCGTTGCAGTCCATCCAAATCTAGCTCCAGGGCTTTCGTCGTAGATCCCATAGTTTTGTCCAGTGACGAATGCTTTTGATTGGTTGCCATCATAACGAAAAACTTCAGGACTACGATAAGAGAACGAATGAGACAATGTTGACAATTGTTCAGCCACTTCAATTATGATGTCTAATGCAGATCCGATTCCAGGAGGGATCTCATGGCACCAGACAACGTCGTCGGATATCCACTGCGAATTTTCACAAACTGTCCTTCCAATCCATATTAGAGGAGAAGAATCTAATCCACCAAAGTTAACCCCTTCTAGTCTCAATGTTTTCTCAGTAGAATATCTTGGAGCGACTGAATTCGGATCTACAAGTTCGACTGCAGGGCTATCATAAGATAGAGCTAGAGACATCGCAATTGTATTGCTTGCTGGATAAGATATAAATGGAGATTTTCCAGAATTCCAAGTTGCGAATACAATTTCCAAGTTTTTACCATAAAATCCCGTGGGCTTGATAGCCAAACTTGTATCAGAAAGCCATCTCGTTGTAGTGCACATGATATTTCCAATGCCTATCTGTATGCTGAAGTCCCATGATCCAAAATTGATTCCGTAAACTGTCATCTCTTGACCTCCAACTCCAAGGATGTTGGCACGAAAAACACTGGAAATGGATGGATAATCAATCGACATGGCATCTGTCAACGTACCCGTAGACAAAGCCGCAGTAACAGCGATCGTGCCCTTATTTTCTGTCATCCAGCTACCTGTCGGTAATCTCGCAACAATTGCTGTGGTAGAAATCCATTCAGTTATCATGCTTGTAGTTCCAGAAAATCGGAGATTTCCTGAGATGTCCCAACCTGAAGCGAGTTCCCCAAAGCACAAAGTGCTTGGGTGAAGAGATGCTCCAAATCCATTAGATTGTTCAACTGATGATAACCTCGGAGAATCGAACGAAAACAAGGCTACGTGTGTTTGTACATCGTCGCCATGCCCTAATCCGTTGTTGTGCGAAATAATGACAGATATTTGTCTTGATAGTCCAGAAGAGGATTTGCATAAAACTGTACTTCCTGACTCCCATAAACTCGCTTCACAAGTAGTGAAGCCTTGTGATACTCTGAGTGAATTATCGTCATTTCCGAGAAAATATCCTGCATACGTCAAAGATACTGAACCTGTCATAGGTCCATTACCTCGTACAGCAACAAACTTTCCTGGCAGAAGTGGACTTAATGTTGGTGAGTTGAACGTGAAAGAATTGCTGAAGCTTCCGACCAGGATCGCAGCTGTTGTAGATAAAGACAGACCTCCTCCCGAACCATGCGCAAGTTTCGAGCGAATGGACGTTTCAGACTTCCAGGCAGTCACCTGACAAAAAATGAGAAAAAGAAAATCATGATCTAAAGGTAAAACTTACCATTGCCGCAGTTCCACCGACAGACACCTTTAGAGAATTATCCTGGAATCCATAATTTGCCCCGATCAAAAGCTCCGACTGCAAACTTTGCCCATTCCACGGGAAAAAGGAATTGAGCAACACATGATTGTATGAGAAAATTGAAGAAACCGAACCGCAAACAGATGAAACGCTCGCAACAATATGGTTGGATGAGCCCATACCATGCGACGCACGGCACATACATGAAGACAACGAGATCCAAAGCGTCCCAACCGATGACGAACTTCCCAACCGAAATCTAGTCGAGAAAGACGAAACGGACAAGGATCTGTCTGAAATCAACACAAATGAAGAGCCCGTGTTTGGCCCATTCGAAAGATAAGCAGATGAAATCAAAACACTCACAAACGACATCATCTGAGAAATAGATCCAACATACTGAACTGAAACAGATAACGATAAAGACTGAAGACCGATCGATGAGACTAATGTCCTGACCGACGTCTCCGACTCCCACTCCGTCCCCTCGCACCCGGTCCCTCCCGCCCGTACCGCCCCCGTGTACCCCGACCGTCCCCCTAGCCCCCCTCCCTGTACCGTCACGCTCGTCGACCCCGTGCCCCCGCCTCCCTTGTTCGACCCCGTCCCTACGCTGATCCCGGCCCCGGCCCCTGCCGTCCACGCCTCCGTCAAGCTCCCTGCCCCGCCCCCTGCTCCTACCCCTCCCCCTACCGTCAGCCCTACCCGCCCCGTGCCCCCGACCCCTGACCCTCCCCGACACCGCACCGACGTCTCCGACTCCCACTCCGTCCCCTCGCACCCGGTCCCTCCCGCCCGTACGCCCCGTGTACC